GTAGAATTATTTGTAATTGGCAGGCCGAGGTAAATTGTGCTATTTGTTGTTTGTACTGGAATATCATTGATCATGACGTCATTTGTATGATTTCCTCTTTTCTTTCCAAATGTCAGGGTTTTGCATTTTCCAGGGTGTATATCATATCTCCACTTGAGGCTATGCTTGTATACCGCGTTTAAAAGAATATTCATACTATTAATATATGTGGCCATGATTGTCATATCGTCTGCATACGCCGGACATGTCACATCAATATCATTAATCTTGGCACCGATATGCATACCACTAAGTTCCTCTATGACGTCAGCACTGTAAAGCTGGTAGAGAAGCATACTATAAATTCCGCCCTGGTGGACCCCCGTCGAACGTCAAAAGTATCAGAAAACTGTTCCCCTATACGTACTTTGCATTTATATGTATTGTAGGAATCAAAAAGGATGCACCATAATTTGCCACAGATTCCAATGTTATATAACTTGTAGAACAGCCCGTTAATCCATACACCGTCAAAAGCTTTACGGATATCGATTGTTGTGACGTAGACGTTACGTCCTGATTCCACGTTATGGGTTATTGCCTCTTGTGCTAACCTGTAAGAGTGGACAGAGGAGCATGATTTCAGAGATGCGCCCTGCAGTTGGGGAATATGTTTAAGAATTTCCGGCTTACTTCTGTTTAACAAGAAGATATCAAACGTTTTTCTGAGTGACGTCATAAGCGTAATCCCACGGTGGTCATCTTTTTCTAAAGGATCGCGTTTGCCACCTTTCAAAAGTGGAATTAGTATTCCAGTACGAAATAAAGATATCTCCAGCAGCTTTATTTAGATTTAACTGATGTATTGCTGTAATAATTTCACTCTTTGTAATGGGGTCGTTTAAAAACACGTTTTCTTGTAAATTTGAAATTGTTTTCATTTCTAATATTTCATTGTTCACTCGTTGATAAAAATCGTCATCATAACTACCAGGATTTGACGGAGTGGCTAACTTTTCAAAATAACTTTTCCATTCCATGCATATTTCTCTTGGATCCGAGAGGATATCTCCATTATCGTTTCTGATTAAATTAGATTTGGGATTACAATTCTTTCGGCTCCTATTTAATAGATACCAGAACATGTTCTGATCAAGTTCCTCTTCAAAATAACTTTTCCATTCCATGCATATTTCGCTTGGATCCGAGAGGATATCTCCATTATCGTTTCTGATTAAATTAGATTTGGGATTACAATTCTTTCGGCTCCTATTTAATAGATACCAGAACATGTTCTGATCAAGTTCCTCTGATTCATTCCTCTGATGCTACTTCCACCCACATAACACAACCATGTAAGTGAATAAATAATAAATATGTGCTACATTTTGCATCATCTGACAGAACAGTAAGATAAAAATATATATAGCAAGATGTAACAGCTTTCCTCCTTTCATTTGTAATCTTGTCAGATCTTTTGAGAACGACATTCAAGTGCGATCATTAAGGAGTCACAGGGGTTATAAGATTCCCCTCCAAACAAGTGCTTTGGCTAAGAAATCAACAATTTTCAATGGAGTTGCTCTTTGGAATAACTTTTCACCAGGTCATACAATTGGTCAGCCAATTTCAAGATTTAAATAATAGTAAGAGGTAGTGGAAGCCCCGCTTCTATCTTATCAACTTCAAAACTAAATGCCATGCCTCGTTATTTAGAAATTCCTTTTAACCGTCTTTATTAGGTCTGGACTTCTCTTGCAAGCTCATCTTCATGCACCTAATTTTGAACGGGTTGCCGAAATGTATTTGTGATAATCTAAACCAGACAACTTCACACTTCCTGTTGAAAATTCTCAGTAAATTTTTAGTAGATGTCAAAGAAAAACTAATCAATTTCAACATGATACATCTGAAATCCCCCTAGCCAAGGGAATAAACCTTACATATAGTTAAGATATATGAGGTTAGTGAAGTGATAATTTATTGACTTTTTCTCATCTACCAGTAACATGACAGGAAAGTAATTCAATGTGTAATAGGAGGAGAGAAAGTATCGCAAGATTTCGGACAGTCATAATGTTGGATTTCCTGAGGATTTAAACAGGTGCATATGTAAGACCAATGCATAACCTACAGGAAAAGCACTCCTATAGATGATAATATAATTTCGACTTTGAGACAGGAAAGATGCAAACAACCCACCCACATGTTTCGTCTGAAATGTTTTCCTGATTTTCAACCCCTTTCACCCCTGCTTTTTTAATTTTTCTTGCAACAATATGTTGTGATTTGACACACAGTTACCCCTTTTAGATAAAGTGGAAAACAATATTTCCCATATTATTTTCCCATTGCAGAAACTCATGCGATCAGCTTTCAGCTAATTTTGGTCAACCATAATGGATACCTTTAAAACCCCCGAAGGAATCACTTATTCCTTTAAAAGGTAACTGGTCAACTCGTACCCAAGACAACTCGTACCCAAGACAACTCGTACCCAAGTATATATTTTGTTTTGAATCAAGCATTGGACTGGGAATGTGAATAGCTATACATATTATAATTGTAACATACTGTTCAGAATAGTTTAAAGTTTGAAGAAGAATTTTCGGAAGAAATTGATTTAATTTTATGACATTTTGAGCTGAGTGTCAATTTATATTGACTATTATTTTATATTGGTCACAGATTCAGGATGTTCAAGTGAAGAGACATATGTTTATAATCATTTTTCAAAATATTGTATGTTTATGAGTGTTTGGAACAAGTGTCAGATCTAACGTTGTAATTATATTTATTTATATATATGTTTGACAAAAAAATTTTGAGAACAAGCGCTTCAAGCACTTCTTTTATTTAATAAACAAAATGCTTTACTGATCCATTGAGAAAAAATGTTGTCTAAATTCAAAAAAATATTGAGCCTTATTTGATTCACCTTATAACATGAAAGCATTACAAACACAATTTCATTCCTAATATGCACCCATAATACTGAAAATAAGCTTGGGTACGAGTTGTCTTGGGTACGAGTTGTCTTGGGTACGAGTTGTCTTGGGTACGAGTTGACTAGGAAGCCTTTAAAAGGGCCTACTGTGTGTCAAAACGCAACATATTGATGCAAGAAAAATTAAAAAAGCAGGGGTGAAATAGGTTGAAAAACAGAACAACACTTCAGAAAAAACATGTGGTGGGTTGCATCTTCCCCGTCTCAAAGTCGAAATTATTTTATCATCTCTATGAGTGCTTTTCCTTGAGGTAATGCATTGACCTAACATATGCACTTGTTTAAATCCTCAGAAAATAGCTAAATTCCAACATATGACTGTCCGAAATCTGTTGCGATACTGTCCCTCCTCCTTTATAACATTCAAAATTGCCAACAAACTTTTTTGTCTGCTGTGACATTCAATGTTAATAGGGAGGTTAAGTTACGTACGTGAACGTGTAGAATTATGGTCTTCTATGGATTATTTCTCCCATTTGTAGTGTTTACTAAAATAATTGTAAATAGGTCCCTGGGACTGAGATTAATGAATTGAGAGATAAACAGTATACTCTGGGGTCAAAATATTAATTACACGCTCGCGTGAATGTTCTCCTATAAACGTGTGACCTAACCTCCCTATGTTTCATCTTGATTAGTTTACCTCCCAGTTGCAGCTCCTTGTAAATTTTCGTGACAATGCATTTCAACAATGCCCCCCCCCCCAACTGCTCCACAATGACACTCTAAATAGAGTCTCCTTTCAAAATTGTATCATAATGTATGTGTCCCATGTTCTTCGCCATCTATTGTAAGCCCTAAATGACACTTCAGAGTCTCCTTTAAAACTTGTATCAAAAAGTATGTGTCCCATGTTCTTCGTCATCTATTGTCAGTCCTTAATCACACTTCAGAGTCTACTTTAAAAATTGTATCAAAATGTTTGTGCCCCATGTCCTTTAGGCTCGCTCAGTTCCTTTTGCTTGGTTCTAAGTCTTCATTCCATTTTTTTACCATCAGACTCTCCATTTCAACAGGCTCTGCATTCTCCCTAGCATCTCCATCCTTGTTATCAAGATTTCGTGAGCCCTAACAAGCAGCATGAACATTTTAAGTGACATTAGGGCGTGACGAATTTGGGAAGTGCCTACTATAATTAGATACACGGTTGGTTAATACAGAATCCTGTCTTTGTGGTATCTTTAAACCCCCTATTAATATTGTATATTTATTGAGAAAATGGGCATTAATCACTTTTCTTAATAGGAAAGTCCACTAAAATATGGAAAGGCCAATATAGCTTTTATCTTAAGGTACCAATAGTCTCAAACCTGCCCCAAGAAAAATTAAGAGTCGTTGTCCGGAATTTCGCCACAAAAAATGAACATACCGTTTCAAAGATTGACTTCCCTATTAAGAAAGCATATTTAGTTTTGATTGTAACAGGGGCTTTTGCCTATGAAATGGGGTCGCACAAGATTCCCTTTTTACAATGTATTTTTGACTTTTTACCACATAACTGCAGTTCAAGTATGATATAACTTTGATAAAAAGAAAGCATTTTTGATTAGCAAGATAATATAGAATTTCGAAAATGTCAAAAAGATGGTTCCCACATGGCGCAGTGTTTTGGTGTGAAATTAAGTGTTATAACGTAATAAAAACACTGTCTAATACTTGAAAAAGGGTAATGCGACATGTATAGAAGGTACAGGGTGACAAAAACGTTACCCAAATACATATATTTGATGACTTAGGAAGATGATGATATCCCCATGCTAAGTCAATACTGCATGTCCCCATGTTAAGTCAATACATCCTTGCTCAAATCATCACTTTCTAAGTGAAAGCCCCTGTTACCCGAAAAATGTAATAGAACCCAGTGTAGAGGATATATATAGGAATATTATGCAGTAGTTGGTTTTTGTGGCGGACATCCGGACAAAAAACTGCTTAAATAGAGCTCTTAGAAAAATCAGATCATGGACTACAAGCAAGAATTCTTTTTAATTGATAGAGTGTATGTAATGCTTACTGTAATTTTTCTCCATAATCTCACCCTGTACGATTCAGGGAGACAACAGAACAGTAAATCCGGCCATTTAATATACGTTGCTTCATCAACATCGTCTTTATCACTAAATCCTACAAACAGAACGAATGATCAGAAAATCTAACAGAAACCCTGATACTACTTTTACCTGATACTACTATACTGAATCTTTTCATCATCCTAGATACTTTTAAAACCAGAATTGGTATTACGGCCCGTTTTGCCTTAACTCTTTGAAACACTGATTACCCGTAGCCTAGTTTTGCTGTATGTTTAATGAAATACTGGTAATACCTGTCACCAAGCTTACAAGCATCCCTACTGTAAACGTCACAATGATTCCTATCAAGCCATACCAGGTGTAAGAAATTGAGTAAAACTTGTCCAAGGGTCCCCTTGAAAATGTAATATCGTGCATGCATAAAAGATAAATCAGAAGGTAACCCTTTTTCTAGAAACGACATTTTTACGATTCACGTTCAAATTGATAGCTCATAATTTAACCATTAATGTCTGATAGTACTTTTTCTAGTTTTTGTGCCTCCGTTATATGTAGTGCATCTTGAAATATGAATGTCAAAGACAAAAACAAGGTGAACTTGATATTGTTGCTTATTACATTACATTGATTTCAATGGGTTTTCCCAATACCTGCCATCTTTGAAAGTGCAAAACTTCAGTTCTAGAAAAGCCATTGTCTTGGATTGTTTATTTGAAAGAGAATTTACAGCATTTTTGGCACAAAAAACATTTTGAAAGAAAATCAACAATGTTTTACAAAATGTCACAAATTTGCACCGCTAGGTCATATTGAACTCGATTTGACCTTTGTGGACTTATTTTTCTGAAAAATGAATACTCTTCTGAAAAGATCATCAAATAACGTTTACAACAATACCAACATTATAGAAATCAGACAAGTATAGAAATTCGCTGAGGGGTATCCGAATGACCCCCCATACGCGTAGAAAAGGTTAAAACAACGTTGCAGACATTAGGGCTAAGAATGTAATGAATACGTTTTACATCATAAAGATCATGCTTGGGAAGAATAAAAATTAATTCAAGCAAGTAGCCCCAAAGCAATTTAGAAATTATAAGTCTTGGATAATATAAATAAAAATGGCGTCTTACTCCTCGACCGCTGGTACAGGCGAAACAGTGCTGGAATTGGAGAGGCCAATCTGATATTCATTGGTTGAATATGGCGTTGTAATAGTTTCATTAAAGAGTTCGCTGACGTTTTCAACATAACATCCGTTGGTTGACGCAGGGGGAAGGATGTGTTTCGTGGATTTGATCGTGAACGCCCCCAAAGCGATCCACAATAAGAAAGCAAAACCGACCCATCCTCCCACTGTTACACCCTGAACAAAATAAATGAACAGAATAAATACAGTCTCCCACTTTTATATGGTCGACCAAATAACAAACTTGCAGAAAGTCCGTGAATATATAAATGAAAGAAAACTAAATACTCGTCGGAGGAATTTTTATTTTCATCATTTTCCCCAACAAAATGTGGATTTGTATCCGGCAAATGTTTTACCCATATGTTAATATTAGCATCAGGTTACTGAAAGCTAGTCAGTCACGAGCAAATATATCCAGCAGCTCCAATAATCGAATAATCGAATAATAAATCCTCACGTCAACAACCAGGACGTTCACACAACGCAACCAAGACGTTACGAAATTCACGAGGTACAAATCAACCTCTTTGCATTGTTGGTGAAAATGATGAAAAGAAAACTTTCCTTCGGCGGAAGTTCATCGATCCAGGCTTACCTTCCAGTTGCAGCTGGTCGTAAAGGCCCCAAGACAATACATCCCAACAACCGACCCTCCAACTGCTCCGCTCAATGCCATGGTGACCTGTGAGTGGAAGAGTCCAAACTGTATAATTTTCACTTACTATTTTACTACAATGTAAGTATACTGAATTATATATCTATACACCAGACCATATAATTGAGTATTTTGTTACTTTTTACTAAGGTTTGAAAGCGTGAAAATCCAGCCTGTTCAAAAATGGACAGTACCTAATTTGTGGAATACATCGCGATAGCCGCGCCCCCTTTGTCTTTTTCCTTCCTCGCAAACGGCAGATAAGAGGGGATCTGGCATACCAGAATGTGTGGAATATGTTAGAGATAAAGTAACTTTGAAGATCTTAGTTTCTTAAAAGATATGCAAAACTACCTTATACTCCCACTATTCGACAAGCATTTTCTATTGTTACTTAACAGTCCTGCTTTGCTGAAACTCAAAACAAATTTTCTGGATGTGTACCTGCAAGATTTGACCAGGAATCTTCATAGCAATAAACGCCATCACAGTCGACAAAATCCCGAGTACAATCACTAAAATAACGCAAAATTGTATCTTTAAATCAATCATTTTAATATATATTTTAAAACAATATAAGAGCCCTGCATATCTTATAATTTACCCTGGGATGAGTCATAAGACACAGCTTAACTGCACTGTTGTATTTTATTTAAAGTAGCTGTCACAATCGATGCTCATCGTTCGCCACAATAATGTGGCCCGCTGGCTAATTTTGGGCATTAATATTTAACTTGATTAATGAAATATTATATTTGGTGTGATTGGAGATTGCTGTAAAACTATTTGTTTTGCCCACTGTATATAAATGCAGTATCCCACCCAAAGTATCCACACGGCAGCGAACAGTAAGCCCATGCGGCCTAAATGTGATAACTCTATATACATAAGCGAAATTCAAAAATATATAACGTACCCAATCCCTTGGTAATATGCGTCGCCCTAGCAGGGCTTGTATTTGGAAAACGATCTCTAAGAACGTCCTCCCAGACATTTGCAGCAAGGGAATTTACAAGTGATGATATCGTACTGAAATACAGTTCAGGTAACAGTCAAAGCGGGCTTTTATCTTATTCTGGACTCGTTCCCAAAACATTTCACCTGAACGGTCCCCTGGATGTGTCCAAAGTTCTGGTCGTAAAAGTGTTGTTGAATTCTTGAGAATCACCTCGGATGAAGGCCAAAGAATATTGAATGATCCAAATTATTGCTTGGAAAATATTCTGAAACGAAGACATCGTGCCTTCGTTGCTAGATGACCCCCAGTGGCGCTAATGCGTCTGCTTAGCAGTTTAACACTGAATTAATTTTTGTCTTTATAAAACGTACGGCGTATTGTAAATATATCCTGATAAATATATTTCAGGTTTATTTTCAGAAGAAACATGATTGTGAAGAACCATGAAAAATCTGTCCCTAAAATCTCTCCAAAAGTGTATTTGCGTATGACTAGAAATTGAAAGAAGAACAAAGCATCCAGAATTACAACATCGTTAATCCTATCTTTACTCCACAGACGCGAAAGTTCAAGATCTTTACTAATAATTTTAAAATGTTAAAAATCACCTCAATGCTGCGCTAAACATAGCTGCGAGAAATATCCCTGGTACGCCTGGAACTGCAAGTACGTCCATTACAAAGTAGGGGAATATCTAAAAATTGAAACTATATTTCATATGCATGCTTTAATGACAAAGTTTAATGATATGAATCCTCAAATTTCAGCGCATCGAGTCCTTGCAGTAAACCTACCTGATTTATATTAGTAACAGCTCCAATAACCATAGGGTCACATTGAATGTGAGAGTAATAGGCATACACCGTGAGCCCTACAAGAGCTGTCAGCGCATAAATCACACAAACGGCGGGAATAACTGTTAGCATGGTCCTGTAAGAACAAATGATCGGTCGGTTGCATTGATATATTGTATTAGGTTAAGCATAAGCTATTATTGATGCCCGAATGGAACAATGGACAATGTAACGAGATTGTATTGAGTTAAGATGAGATGCAGTAGCCGGAAATCGGGAATAATTCCTTAGAAAAACTTCAAAATAAATTGTTGATGCCTCAAACCTGCCCCGAGGAATGGCTACGACCTGAACTTACTTTTGTCAAAATACCGGAGCTTGAAAAAAATCACTCACCTAGATATCGACGAAAGAAGTTTCAGTTTCGTTCGACTGCGTGAGCAAAATTTAAGCTAAGCTAAACGGTTTTCGTTTGTCACAAAATTGACCTCATTTAACTACGCCATCTGGTGAATGAATCATTGTTTTCGTGTCATATGATTCGTTGTTTTGTGTCACATGACCTACCTTTAGACCTTTTGCCACCTATCGTAAGTTAATCGAATTAAAATGAAATTTTTTTATCCAAGAAGAAAATTTGCACAAAAAATATAAACTCCGCTTGACATAATCCTTGTCACTCTATCGTCTTCTTGTTGAGGCACATCGGAACTTGAGATTTATAGCCATTCAACCAAGCCACAAAAAAATGTATATAAGTTTAACATGTGTGTTAATATTTCCGGGCAATCGACCTCTAAGCATAAGCTACATTATAAATACTCGAATGGAACAATGTACAATGTGACGACATTATATAAGTTAAAACATAAGCTATATTACGGATGCCCAAATTAAATAATTGACAATGCATGATATTGTATTAGGTAAAACATAAGCTATATTATAGATGCCCGATGGAATAATTGACAATGTAACGAGATTGTATTAGGTAAAACATAAGCTATATTATAGATGCCCGATGGAATAATTGACAATGTAACGAGATTGTATTAGGTAAAACATAAGCTATATTACGGATGCCCAAATTGAAAAATTGACAATGCATGAGATTGTATTAGGTTAAGCATAAGTTATATTATGGATGCCCGATGGAATAATTGACAATGTAACGAGATTGTATTAGGTAAAACATAAGCTATATTACGGATGCCCAAATTGAATAATTGACAATGCATGAGATTGTATTAGGTTAAGCATAAGTTATATTATGGATGCCCGATGGAATAATTGACAATGTAACGAGATTGTATTAGGTAAAACATAAGCTATATTACGGATGCCCAAATTGAATAATTGACAATGCATGAGATTGTATTAGGTTAAGCATAAGTTATATTATGGATGCCCGATGGAATAATTGACAATGTAACGAGATTGTATTAGGTAAAACATAAGCTATATTACGGATGCCCAAATTGAATAATTGACAATGCATGAGATTGTATTAGGTAAAAGATAAGCTATATTATAGATGCCCGATGGAATAATTGACAATGTAACGAGATTGTATTAGGTAAAACATAAGCTATATTACGGATGCCCAAATTGAATAATTGACAATGCATGAGATTGTATTATGTTAAGCATAAGTTATATTATGGATGCCCGATGGAATAATTGACAATGTAACGAGATTGTATTAGGTAAAACATAAGCTATATTACGGATGCCCAAATTGAATAATTGACAATGCATGAGATTGTATTAGGTTAAGCATAAGTTATATTATGGATGCCCGATGGAATAATTGACAATGTAACGAGATTGTATTAGGTAAAACATAAGCTATATTACGGATGCCCAAATTGAATAATTGACAATGCATGAGATTGTATTAGGTTAAGCATAAGTTATATTATGGATGCCCGATGGAATAATTGACAATGTAACGAGATTGTATTAGGTAAAACATAAGCTATATTACGGATGCCCAAATTGAATAATTGACAATGCATGAGATTGTATTAGGTAAAAGATAAGCTATATTATAGATGCCCGATGGAATAATTGACAATGTAACGAGATTGTATTAGGTAAAACATAAGCTATATTACGGATGCCCAAATTGAATAATTGACAATGCATGAGATTGTATTATGTTAAGCATAAGTTATATTATGGATGCCCGATGGAATAATTGACAATGTAACGAGATTGTATTAGGTAAAACATAAGCTATATTACGGATGCCCAAATTGAATAATTGACAATGCATGAGATTGTATTAGGTTAAGCATAAGTTATATTATGGATGCCCGATGGAATAATTGACAATGTAACGAGATTGTATTAGGTAAAACATAAGCTATATTACGGATGCCCAAATTGAATAATTGACAATGCATGAGATTGTATTAGGTTTAGCATAAGTTATATTATGAATGTCCGATGGAATAATTGACAATGTAACGAGATTGTATTAGGTTAAGCATAAGTTATATTATGGATGCCCGATGGAATAATTGACAATGTAACGAGATTGTATTAGGTAAAACATAAGCTATATTACGGATGCCCAAATTGAATAATTGACAATGCATGAGATTGTATTAGTAAAACATAAGCTATATTATGGATGCCCGATGGAATAATTGACAATGTAACGAGATTGTATTAGGTAAAACATAAGCTATATTACGGATGCCCAAATTGAATAATTGACAATGCATGAGATTGTATTAGGTTAAGCATAAGTTATATTATGGATGCCTGATGGAATAATTGACAATGTAACGAGATTGTATTAGGTAAAACATAAGCTATATTACGGATGCCCAAATTGAATAATTGACAATGCATGAGATTGTATTAGGTTTAGCATAAGTTATATTATGAATGCCCGATGGAATGATTGACAATGTAACGAGATTGTATTAGGTAAAACATAAGCTATATTATGGATGCCCGATGGAATAATTGACAATGTAACGAGATTGTATTAGGTAAAACATAAGCTATATTACGGATGCCCAAATTGAATAATTGACAATGCATGAGATTGTATTAGGTTAAGCATAAGTTATATTATGGATGCCCGATGGAATAATTGACAATGTAACGAGATTGTATTTGGTAAAACATAAGCTATATTACGGATGCCCAAATTGAATAATTGACAATGCATGAGATTGTATTAGGTTTAGCATAAGTTACATTATGAATGCCCGATGGAATGATTGACAATGTAACGAGATTGTATTAGGTAAAACATAAGCCATGGTATGTATGCCCGAATGGAATAATTGACAATGTAACGAGATTGTATTAGGTTAAGCATAAGCTATATTACGGATGCCCAAATTGAATAATTGACAATGCATGAGATTGTATTAGGTTTAGCATAAGTTATATTATGGATGCCCGATGGAATAATTGACAATGTAACGAGATTGTATTAGGTAAAACATAAGCTATATTACGGATGCCCAAATTGAATAATTGACAATGTAACGAGATTGTATTAGGTAAAACGTAAGCTATATTATGGATGCCTGATGGAATAATTGACAATGTAACGAGATTGTATTAGGTAAAACATAAGATATATTACGGATGCCCAAATTGAATAATTGACAATGTAACGAGATTGTATTAGGTAAAGCATGAGCTATTTTATGGATGCCCAAATTGAATAATTGACAATGAAACGAGATTGTATTAGGTTCAGGGTAACTATTTTATGAATGGCCGAATGGAATAATTGACAATGCATGAGATTATATTAGGTTTAGCCTTAACTATATTATGGATGCCCGAATGAAATAAATGACTATATGTATGAGATTGTGTTATGTTTAGCCTTAGCTATTTTTTGGATGCTCAAGGTAATATATCTTAATGTACATAATTATTTTTAAGAAATTCTGCTTACAGTCTGGCATCTTTGAGTGATCGTGTTGCTGAAAAACGCTGCACTCCAGGTTGGCTTACTCCATACAGATGTGTACAGGTTGCCCCAACACCAATAGTGAGGCCCCAGAAGGTATGTCTCGTCAATGGGTTCAAGTCAAAGCTGGAACACAAACTCAAACATACAGGGTGGTCCAAAAAATGGGACACTAATATTTCAAAAATAAACATTGATTTTATTGACGAAAACATGTCATAGTATATATATATATATCAGTGGATAGGGAATTTACTTTTCTTTAATTTGGTATATCATAAGTTCAAATTCATTGTATTACGTGTCAACCAGCGTCCATAATACAAATGACGTCATTTTCGTTTCAAACAGGTTTTCAAAAACTTGCAAAAAAACAATTTTTTTGTCACCAAAAACCGATGTTCTCCATTTTGATCAATTATAGCCCTCAATATTGGTCTAAACTGATCAGTAGCGTCATTGACATGCTGTTGAGACAAAGAATTCCACTTTTCACAATTCTGAATAGATGTAAGGAGTTCATGATACATCAATTTTGTTGGTTCTCCCCATACGTGGTAGTCGCATCAGGTGATCTGGGGGGGGGGGCAGTTATTAGGGCTATGAATTGAGGCACATTATCTTTTAAATGTTTTACTGTCTTGTGTGATCTATGGCTTGGAGCCCCATCTTGTTCGAAAATGTGATGATCAGAATATGATATCAGGCATAGGTCCTCTGTGCAGGATGTTTTGATTCATCCCCTTAATAACTGCCCCTCCAACCAGATCACCCGATGCTAACTTCTGCGACTACCACGTATGAGGAGAACTAACAAAGTTGGTGCACCATGAACCCCTTACATTCAGTCACTTAAGGACAGAATTGTTGAGAAGTGGAACTTATCATTTCAAAAGCATATCAATGATAATATCAACAAGTTTATGCCAAGATTGAGGGCTTTAATTGATTAGATTGATACAGAATATCACATCATTTTGAGTGATATCATTTTTATCGCCGAGTTGATATCAAATATCAACACGAGTGAGAGAAGCGATAAAATTATATCACGAGAAATTATGTGATATTGGGTTTATCCCATGATTACGATCCAATTTCCAGGACACTGGCAGACCTATTTTCCCAAAAGAGAATAAATTATCTGACCTAATTTCCAACAATATTGTGGCGCGAAATGCAAATGTGATATCACACGGATATGCGTGAGATAAACGATATCACACGCATATGAGTTTGATAAACATTTTCTGGAAAATATCACACGGATTTTAATAATATCAGAAATATCAATAGCTGTTATTGTACAGATAACACATTAATCGTGGGATAAATGGAGATATTGGACTTCTGTTTATCTTGACAGAAAACTTGGATTTTACAAGTTTTTGAAAAACCTTTTTGAAACGAAAATGACGTCATTTGTATTGTGGACGCTGGCTGACAGGCATTATAATAAATTTGAAATTATGATATACCAAATTAAAGATAAGTAAATTCCCTATCCAATGGTATATAATATGATATGTTTTCATTTATAATATCAATATTTATTTTTGAAATACGAGTGTCCCATTTATTTTGGACCAACTTGTACATATAATAAATACATACAGGGTGGTCCAAAAATGGGACACTCGTATTTCATAAATAAATATTGATTTTCTTGATGAAAATATGTCATATTATATACCAATGGATAGGGAACTTAATCATCTTTAATTTGGTATATCATAAGTTCAAAGAATGGGTATCGATATGGCGAACTTTTTGAACACACGTTTCTCTAAACCAGTCATCAAAATTTCTGAAAATCTTACAAATTGTCAATTTAATGGCCATCTTTTGAATGGTAACAATATAATTTGAAATAGATATACATACTTTCATCTATATCGTTTTAAAAACACATCAAACACTAAGTTTGTTCTTGGTATCATGTTTCCAGAGTGAAATGAAACATCTTTCCGAACCTCATTGGAACAAAACGACATAAACACATCATATTTAGGTCTCTCAATATTGTAATTGTACAAAGGAAATTTTGGTTGATTTTAAAAAAGTATCTTATTAATGAAATAAAAGGTTTTCTTGATTTTTTATCTATTTTGGGGGGATTCGTTTTAATTTTTTGAATACTTTTTTAAAATCAACCAAAAATTCCTTTGTATAACATTAATATTGAGAGGTCTAAAAACATGTTGTATATGCTATTTTGTTCCAACAAGGTTCGGAAAGACATTTTATTTCATTCTCAAGAATTGGTAGAAAGGAGCAAAAACAATTGCACTAAAAAAACAAAAAATGTTAACAAAAACAGCTATATAAAATATTTCTAAATAATTTTTGCATTAAATTGTTGTCAATCAGTCAACATTAAATAAAATACCATGTTTTTTTACAGAATGTTTTCAATGATTGGTTTAAGAGAAAAACATTGTTGAATTCAGTTCCCCATTACGATACCTATCCTTTATTATAATGTCTGTCAACCAGCGTCCGTAATATAAATTATAATCAATCACTCTATTGGCTGGATTCTTCCACCTCTCTGACACAGGTTCCACATATTTGCGAAGCCTCCAACTCGACTGCAACCCTTGAAACAACAATGACTTACAATTAATTTACCGAAACTTATGAAAATGAGTCAACAATTACTGCTATTTTTGATACTAGTTCATGGTAGTAAAAGCGACAACCCTAGACTTCCTCATTTTGATGAAGCCCATTTCAAACTTGATGGACAGATTAACTCTAAGAACTATATAGTCTGGGGGAACCAAGTACCTAATAACGTAGCGGAGAAGCCATTTCACGAGACTCCACTCCGTATGCAAAGGATTATTTTGGGTCATTTTCCTTACTTATGCCAAGGAAAAGTAACTGTGTCATTGCGATTCTCAGAGATTTCTTGCAGGCCTTATATTAGGTGATAGGCTGTTAAGTGGTTCCAACAAGACTATACCATGACTTATACATCCGACGATGCTCTAGAATGGCTTAATGACCACTTCAACGTCCACATTATCAGCAGGAGAACAGATAATGAGTGGTAACCCCGTAGCTCGGATATCGTGTCCCCATTTGATTTTTACATCTGGGGATACGCCAAAAATATAGTGATAGATAATAACCAAATGATAATATCACCCTATGCAGACAGAGCCTGTGGGAAATATTGGGTGCGGCGCAAATGAGCAGGCAGTATCTGTGTGATTTTATAAATATTCGGAAATGTTCTTCAGATATGAGCCCCTCTAAATATTTGGTGCGGAGCTACGTTTATGGAGCTGCTCCGCACCCAATATTTAGAGGGGGCTCATATCTGAAAAAATTTCCGAATTTTTATAAAATCACACAGATACTGCCTGGCTTCCAAGATGCAAAAATAATTTGTATAGATAGTACACATTGAACACCATTTTTTATGAATGCTGGGGACTCAGTATTAAAAGGATAATTTCAAAATATATAGGTCTGGGAAAGGTTTAAGGCACACTGCGTCGCTATAGAATGAATTGCGCTACTATTTTCACAATTGTATTGATATTTGGTGTCAAATACACATATCTTGGTATATTTGAAGTCCCAAAACGGCTTAGTTTCAGAAATATCCCAAATTTAAATTAAAAAATAACCGTTAGCTCCGCACCCTACGCTCATTTGCTCCGCACCCAATATTTCCCACAGGCTCTGTCTGCATAGGGTGAATATGCAGTCTGAAAGTCATGAAAAGTGCGCTGGTAGGAAATAGAATATGATGTACAAATGTACCAAATATCAAGAATTTATTTCCTAAAATGATATGAGATATGAGTAAAATTCAGGGTTGCCGTTTTTACCATTAATATTTTATTGATCAATATGTAAAAGACAAAATGAAGATTCCTTCATGAAATCCAATATTACCAGAAATGTAGCATCATATTTCGAAAAGTAATTGCAATTAATATAAAAAAAGATAGGCAAAACGCTTAGTAAGTGATTTACCATTGCTAATGTGATGATCATTCCTATTATTATGATCAAGAATTGGAAGACGTCTGTCCAAATAACGGCTTTAATACCTCCCTGCAATCGTACATGTAGACAATCAGTTATTATATATCACTTGAAAGAACAACAATAATCTGGAGAACTCCCTACGTGCAGAAAATTCCTAGCATTATCATAGTAGCCCGGGCAGAATTGTTCAAGGATCATCTTTTCTTTAATAACTTTTTTAATTTTCAGTATTATCAAAATCTGGTTACATATTTTAAAACTAGAGTAAAATTCTGACATACAAAAAACATATTTAAGGAACATCTCTCAACTTATTGAATCAGATATTATTGGCGTTCATAGTATGAGTGATGCAAATACATAATTCACCATTTGTCTCATATTTGTTCAAAAATGCCTCGTTTTATGAATTTGAATGTTCAGTTGAAAGTTAATATTTAAAAAACGTCATGGGCCTATGGAGTCTTTACTGCTGCTTTGGTATGAGATAATGAGGAATGACTGCATTTGAACCTTTTGTTTTAAATTGACTTGTACCGGTACTTAAAAAAGGATCGTACATTGTTTGTACAGTATATTGGTAAGGTCGCAGGACTTTAAGTTTTTTGGCCATTCCATTGTCAATAAATTAAGAGAATCTCCTTAAATATTTTTTTGTATGTCAGAATTTTACTCTAGATTTCAAATATGTAATCAGATTTTGATAATATTGAAAATTCAAAAAGTCACCAAAGAAAAAAGTGACCCTTGATCAATTCTGTCCGGGCTACTATATAATAGAAAAGTCAGAACTTTGCACTTTCGGAAAATAGAGACATATCAAACATATTTGAGACAAACAATTGTGTTCTAAGAAAGATACTCGCAACTCGTCTTTAGTATTTGCTATACCTTTAATATTTTATCTGGAAACATGAATAAAGCATACTTAAATTATTTTTATACATAGAATACAATATACAAGTAGTTCAACAAAACAAGTTTGCAAGATATATTTGCTTGGAAAGAGCCTGACATACCAGTGTTGTATAGAATGTTGCTACTGCTGCCATGATTAAAATAGAGACCCACGTCGGAAGACCAGATACTGAAATGTTGAGTGACATACTGCATAAATGCTACTAGTACTACTACTAGTCTAGAGAGTGTTATATATCGAAATGTAATAGGAAAAAAGCAAAATTACAATGATTACCCTCTTACCTGCCTCGAGAGCTATTGCAGGAGCATACATGACGACGCCCACAATGGCCACCTTTATCAACAATCACAGATTTGAAGTCTTATCCCAACCCAGTCAGTATACAGTACGTCTCAAAATATTGTAAAATATAAAATTAGTGATGACAACACCAATTTCATTTAGTTTACCATTTGAGCCAAGTGTCTCTTCTTTCCAATATGATGTGTCATTTTTTCATATGAGACCACGGACCACTGAATAATCATTCCTTTTGCACAATAGGCCAAAGTCCGCTCTGTACCAAGCTTTAGAGATTGCAAAAATCAGTGCATATGACCAGTAGCTATTGAAAAAGAAGTGGCACAATTAAGTGTTCAAAATCATTGTCTTTCATCTTATTAAAGTTGACTCATGAAAAATTACATGCCTTGACATACCCTGGATATCTTTTTCTGAATTACCCTTGAATTGTGGGTGCGAATGTGCACAAAAACCCTTTGGTTTGTCGTTCACTGAACCTTTATGGATACTAATGAACACAAAAAATTGTCTTTAGTAAAACTATGTGTGAAACTTTTGTTATTCATTGCTTCATTCACATTTAATCGACGACCGTTGCTTCCCAAAATCGAGAGAAATGTGTAGCATGAAATATAGTGATAAGCAGTACCTTAGATATTCTATACCGATTCTGTGAAGCTACAGCTGCCGTAGAGCAAATGTGACCGAGGCTTTATGGTGTTGTGACCAGAATTTAATCCTCAACCCCAATTACACAAACCTGATTGGACAATAAGGATCAGTTGATTGAAGAAAGTTTTTAACTTAGCCCTTTCTTCCATGTGCGAAAAAACAATGATAATCCTGGCAGTGATTCATGATCACATATGACCAAATGACATATCATTGAAAAGAGTACAATTGTGGCTTTTGAGACGCACTGTATGATAAACTGGATGGCTGTTATACTCATTTTATATCCCTATCCCTAGTAAATATTGCCCCTTGATGAGATAACGAAGTCAATTATTGACATTAATTAACCCTGGATACATTCTAAAAATCCATTATTGATCCACTATATTTTAAATATTTTTTTTCTGGTTTAGGCAATTACATATCACACAATATGTGTGTCTCGAGTACTCACGAATCCAACACTGCCGATGACCATACATGATTGGCGGGCTACTCGTGATTTGAAGCGTCTGTACAGATACTGCAGTAGAAGTTATACAAGTTTTATGGATAGTATGCTTGAGATTTTTTATAAATAATTTTTTATTTCAGGCTAGCACCATTACAATTACAATACACAGTGCAATTTAACAAGATTGTACATAATATGCATAGGCGTAGCCAGGAGGCGTAGCGATCGCACCCTCTCCCCAAACCAATGAAAATATAGCCAAAAGAAAATAGCTTTAAAGTGCTTTTTATTTGAAGCGTCTAGCTCAATTTTGAAGGAAGTTGCATCAATTTTTGTAAAATTCGCACCATTCCCCCTGACTGAAAGCTGACTACGTCCCTGATAGTGATTTAATAAGTGCAGATTATTTCTGCCAAGAGCGCCATCCGAAAAACATCAAATAAGTAATATTATAATAAGAGTAGCGGGGATCATAAGTACACTCCCCTCCATAAGTTTGTCAACCAGGAGACCCCTTTTGAATCAATCATCAAAGCCTGTTTGTATTTGGCGATTTAAAAGATCATACAAATCATAAAATTGTGGACTATTGAAATTAAGGAACAAGATGAAGATTCAAACTTGCTTTGATATGCCATCTAATGTAAACTTCTGACCCCTAAACTCATGAAGGGGGGGGGGTGTAAACAAAAAGATGCTGGTTTACTTTAGTTTTTACAAATAGTAAATATGTTTATTTGATATTGCCGTCACTAGTGTTGAACATCTTTCGTGTGTGGAAGTTACCGTTTTGCAAATGATTTACAAATTTGGGTCAAATGGTTATACTGTATACAGTATTCAACAAGCGACAACCCATTCGAAACATGCGAATTATTTATTAGGTATAATGTTTAATTGTTTGGCTTAAAAGATCTTTTCACATTCAATAAATTTAAAGGATGTGTTAAACCGAATTTGATACAATTGAACATGGCCTCTCACTATGCGAATCAATAAAAAACTACTTACTTCGTATGTGCTTGTTAGATGTAGGGGGTACATCAACGGGACAAATATCCTCTCAGCAATGAGAGCAGCCAACGAGTTACCGACACAGTAAAGCCAGAATTGAGAGCCTCCGGTGTACATCTCTGCCGTCAACCCCAATATTGTTATGCATGATGCGAATGACACCATTAACGACACTGACGTTGGGAAAAAGTGAAGCTTTCTGTCTGCTAACAGATATTCTGAATTTGTATTTTGCTTTCCACCGGTACACGAATAGAATACTCCTATGGCCATTGATATTACAATAAATGCAATAAACACGATATAATCCGCCCAGTGGAAGGTGGACGCCATCTCTCATTTCTTACTGCATCTTCAAAATGTGAACTAATTTCTTCAAACTACAATTCAGGCACGTAGCCAGGGGGTTCGATGGCCAAAAAATTTCGAAATCATGCAGTTTTTTACCATTCTGAGCACTGTTTAAGTGATTTTGACTATTTTTGGACCAAAATTGTCACAAGTGAACCCCTCTGGAATTTTTCCAAATGTGACCCCCCCCCCCCCCTTGGCAAATCCTGGCTACGGGCCTGAATAACTTCTACTAATTAATGGTGGCTGTGCTCTGAGCATTGTTATCACGTTATACAATTAGAGCATAAAAGTATTAAATTAATTATAATATAAATAGAATACCAATGAAATTACAAAAAAGACAAAGATGAGAGCACCGAGGTTCGTCTTAACTCCAAGTTTCAATGTATATGTTGACTAACTATTTATAATACCAGATTCAATTCATAACCAGTTAACTTATATGAACTTTCCCCTACACCGCACCTATAAAATTGTGCGATGATACGAATGGATGGTTGTAAATAGAAAAATAAAATATTTCCAACCTACCTCATTGTAACATAAAGTATTTACTATGATCAGAGACATATAAAATATGTTTTTATATGTTTTTTTATTTGTGTCTGCTATGATGCATTCACTTCAAGTCAATGTTTTTTTACATTTCCGTTCAAAAGAAATCAAGCAACGGATATTTACATACATATTTCTATGTTATCACGACCTCTTGCCAAATTATTACAATTAAATCAAATGTGATTCGATGAACAACCAAATATATTGAAATGAAAGATGACAAAATGTTCAGCTAACAAACTACTTCTCCAAATAATTATAAACCTGTAAAACACGCCTTACCATCGCGTAAGCAGGCGTCACCGTACAGCGTCAAAAAATAGCGGAGTACAGTTTTCTGTACGGTAACGCAAATTAACTGCTTTGAAGCAAAAACTATGACAAGGGTTTTAAAAATCATAATTTGATGAAAACTAAAACGATTTCATGTGAAATAAAAACAGCATCCTCTTAGAAATGGTTTTAACTTTCTGATTATGATAAACGTTTTACGAGCACTGTTCGGATTTTTTCTGAGTGAATCGGCCCACATAATCGACCCAAGTGAAAAAAGGTTGTTTTTTCACATTTCGTTTGGTTATTATTTTCCCTGCCGTCTGAGAGTATGGATTATTTTTATGAGAATATGTATTTGTTGACTACACATTTTAGAACGGGCGAAGATTCAGCAAACAACCATTCATTATGTATATTTAAAAAAGATCAAATTTGTACGGTGACGCAGCAGCTGTACGGTGACGCTATGCTTTGATGAACTAAATGAGACTAAGATTGTATGAAATGGAAACTCTGGAGTATGATCATTTGTTCATATATAGTGCATGGGCGCTACAGTTCAACGATATCTTCCACCGCTTAATGGAAGGTTGAAATGTATGATACGGTAAAGATCATGAAACCAAAAACTCTCTTGTTGCTATGTTATTGATGTTTTAAAACAAGGGATGTCACAAGTAAATCTCATCTTGCACGTGTGACTTTTTAGGATGAAAATTGCAAAATCTTGCATGGGGTAAAGATGGCTGTGTAGGCTATCTTTGTTAGTCATATGAGAAAAGCCTGGTTTAGTTCAAATGATACCAAAGCATTACGTCAACTTTCAAATAGTTAATTCCATGAAAACTAGAAATATCGAAATCAAGCTGATGCGTCACCGTATAGTTCTGATCTTTTTTAAATAAATACACTGAATGATTATTTGCCGAATATTCATCTGTTCTAAAATGTGTAGATAACAAATACATATTCTCATAAAAATAATCCATACTCTCAGACGACAGGGAAAATAATAACCAAACGAAAAGTGAAAAAACAACTTTTTTCTCTCGAGTTGATTATGTGGGCCGATTCACTCAGAAAAAATCCGAGCAGTGCTCGAAAAACTTTTATCATAATTAGAAAGTTAAAACCATTCCTAAGAGAATGCTGTTTTTATTACACCCAAAATCGTATTTATTTTCATCTAATTAATCTTTTTAAAACCCTCATTATAGTTTTTGCTTCAACTCAGTTAATTTTCGTCACCGTACAGAAAACTGTACTACTGTATTTTTTGACGCTGTACGGTGACGACTGCTTACGCGATGGTTAGGCGTGTAAAAAGAAGCATGTAAAATACATAAAAAATGGATTGCATATTATTTCTATCACACAGCATGCATGCATAATGTTGTTTGCGGTATAGTCGATATACCTGGCTGGAAAACCTTTTTGTGATGTCCACGTGCCAAAACTACTGGATGTCAAATTTCTACTTTTGGCGAACATTCTGAATTTTCGCACTTATTTGCATTAAACTCAACAGATTATGTCATTAAGCTAGCAGATACATCAATATACTTTTTTGTACTTCAAGGGAAAATAAAATGGCTCAACTGCAACAGTTCGTCTATTAATCAAGAGGGATGGACAGCAGTCACTTAAAAATTGGAGAGTTTAAGCTAGTGTATACGTAATGCCTTGTTAATACTATCAGTAATGAATTGGGACCCGACGTAGAATTATTTGTAAGGGGCAGGCCGAGATGAATAGTGCTATTTGTTGTTTGTACTGGAATATCATTGATCATGACGTCATTTGTATGATTTCTTCTTTTCCTTCCAAATGTCAGGGTTTTGCATTTTCCAGGATGTATTTCATATCTTCAGAGATTGTATACCGCGTTTAAGGGAATATTCATACTACGTATTAATATCTGTGGCCATGATTGTCATATCGTCTGCATACGCCGGATGTCACATTCATATCAGATTAATATTTGCACCGATATACATACCACTATGACGTCAGCACTGTACAGCTGGTAGAGAAGCATCGATTCCGCCCTGGTGGACCCCCCGTCGAAAGTCATCACCTATACGTACTTTGCATATGTATTGAAGGAATCGAAAGGGATGTGCCATAATTTGCCACAGATTCCAATGTTATATAATTTCTAGAACAGACCGTTAATCCACACCGTCAAAAGCTTTACTGATATCGATAGTTGTGACGTAGACATTACGCCATGATTCCACATTATGGGTTATTGCCTCTTGTGCTAACATGTAAGAGTGGACAGAGTATAATTTCAGAGATGCGCCCCATCTTGGATTTCCAAGGTATGATGTTTTGATTGAAAATCAAACTGGGAAACGAGTATGGATGCGCCCTGCAGTTCGGGAATATGTTTAAGAATGTGTGGCTTTTTTACTTCTGTTTAACAAGAAGATATCAAACATTTTTCTGGGTGACGTCATAAGCGTAATCCCATGCATGGTGGTCATCTTTTTCTAAAGTATTTGCGTTTGTCGCCTTTCAAAAGTCAGTGAAAAGTGGAATTAGTATTCCAGTGCGAAATAAAGATGCCGTGTATTCATTATTGACAATGTGAAATGAATCAAATGAATAAAATCGATTACGGCTGAGACACCTTGAATGATCGGCAGTAGCGTCAGAAGGATTTGCCAAGGGAGAAGGTGACTTTTGGGTATGGATCTAGGGGGATCGGGGGGCATGCCCTAATAGAATCCTCAAATTTAGACCCTGTCTGTTGCGTTCTGAACATATCTCAGCACAACATTTACCCTTTGCATTCGTTGACTTCACTTCTTAAAAGAGAGCTTCGTCTTCAGTAGTTTAACTAGACTCTGCACGCAGGGTACACACCATTTCCAATAATAAATTAAAAACAAGAAAAAATTGTGTTTTTAGAAAACTTAACTTGACTTTAACTAAAAACGTTGACTTTTACATTTTGCACGTCTTATTCTTCAAAGTATTTACAAACTGTATGGGTTCCTGTGACACTATAGCCCTATAGTATTTACACGACACGCGACATTACAAGACGTCTAGATACTGACAAACTAGAGATGATCAATTCAAGGCTCGGTTTTAAATAAAAAAAATCCGGGGAAAGGGAGGCAGTCACCGCCAACGCCCTCCCCCTTCCGACGCAAATGTCGGCAGATATACAGCTCCAGTAGCTTTATTTAGATTTAACTGTTGTATTGCGGTAACAATTTCACTCCTTGTAATGGGGTCGTTTAAAAAGAATTGCTTTCATTAGTAATATTTCCTGGTTCACTCGCCGATAAAAATCGTCAGCATAACAGTGATAACTGCCAGGATTGGACGGTGTGGCTAACTCTTCAAAGTAACTTTTCCATTCCATGCATATTTCTCTAGGATCTGAGAGGACATCTCCAATAGGGTGTTTGATTAAGTTAGATTTTGGATGACTATTCTTTCGGCTCCTATTTAATAAATACCAGAACATGTTTTGATCAAGTTCCTCTGATTCATATATATAAATTGTTTAAATCAGAATGTTCGAAATCGTATATCTTGCACTATTATATGCTTTGAAATCAGCTTTCTTTGAACGTTTGTATTTTAATCTTGTTTCATTGGTTTCAAGACTAGGTCGCCCCGCTTTAAAGGGGCAACAAGGCCTGTAGGGCCGGAGAAAATTCGGAAATGTTTACTTTTTCTGTGCTATCAGGGCAACATTTATGTATGGAAAAACTATCAATTTCAGCATTGGGTAAATTCAGTTCAAAGATTCTATAAAAGGAATCCCAGGAGTAAGATTTCTAAGATCCAACACGTCTAAAGAGGCATATCAACTGCCAGTTGACCTAAAGAGAGGTCTACAATTGTATATTGTATTTCCTTTGTTATCCTACACTTAGTGTACTAAATGTTTAATAACATGAAAAAATAAATTTGATATTTATTAGCAAAATGAATATCCGGAGGATATCGTTACGATATACTCCGGGCGGAGGATATCGTGACGATATACTCCGGAAAACCCAATATGCGGAGGATATTGTGACGATATACTCCGCTTGTTGATTTCCCGCCAAATTGACTCTGTTAGGCATGAATTTCATTTTGCAATGATATCATACATTTAGTACACTCCTTGTAAGTGTAGGATAATAAGAACATCCTATGATTTTTTTCAGAATATCATTTTAATCTGCTCGGTGATATTGATATATGCACTCGTTCGCTTTGCTCTCTCATGCAGATATCAATATCACCTCGTAGATAAAAATGATATTCCTCAAAATCATATAGTTTATCACTGTTCCACAGATGGATGACAGAAAATTTCCAATAGCTCGTCATGTTTACCGAGAACGAAAGATCTTTGTCCACTATTCATTTTGCCAATAAATATCAAATTTATTTTTTCATGTTATTATACATTTAGTATGAAAATAGATGGGGTTACTATGGCTTACCAGGCGATTGAACTATGTTATAGAACAACTTCCAGTACATTATGATATTTAAAAGTATAAATTTTTGAAAATACATATAAAGAATCTTCGCCCGCAGGACGTGTATTTTGAATGCCTTGAGAAGAGCGCAAATGGGTAATGGCCCGGCGTTGCAATAGTAGCATTTAAAAATCTGTTTCTCTCGAGATTTATGGTCTTCTGAAATTATACTTGGTGTTGCTGCATCATTGCTCAAATCTAGAGGAGTGTTGTTGCATCTTCGGTTTGGTGTTGTTGCATCAGTAGTGAGGAACTAAAACCGTGAACTTATTGCTTCTTGATGATGCTACATGACAGTTTCTTTAAATATAGATCGTGCGCTAACTGCACGTGTATGGTTATTGAGAAACTCGTCCTAGAAATGGGTTTAAATTGGGGAAACAAAGTATTGTACGAAAATCTATCACCGGAAGTCTGGCCATCTTGATGCAACAACACGGTGTTGTTGCATCACGATACTCCCCAGTGAAAACGAAGTTAAAGTACTAATTGCCTACATTTATATGAGTTGCTCCTATTCTTTAATTAGTAAAACAGTTCCAGCAAACGATCTTGATTAAACCAAACCAGGTCGTTCACAAAAATGTATGGTCATGATGGCCAAGATCATTCAAATCAACGTCAGTATTAGTAAATCTAACATTTTTCTCTTTATCCGATTTTTGAACAAAATATAAGTTACCACTTACTAATGTTACAGTAATTACCAGCTGCTTGACCAGCAAAGACAAATATGTACTGAGACACCCCTTTTAATTGATAAGTTGGCTTAAAATTATAAAAAGTAAGGCCTTAAAAAGGACCATTAATTAAATCATTTTGGGCTAAAAAATTCTGCCCCCACCCAAGATCACCCAGTGAGTCGAGTAAGCATCAGGCTGCGCGTCCGCTTTCGAAGGATTACCATGCGAAACAAACACGACCCTTTAAATAAAACTCTAACAACAACATTTCAAGGCAAGGTAAATGGTTAGACTACCTCATGTGCAGGGAGTGACCTGAGGTATAAACAAGTACTTGCAAGCATGTACTACTCCAGTTAATATGATATACTAACTTGAAATGATAACACAGTAACACTATTTGAATTAATTAGGATATCTAAACTCTCTTCAAGACTGCAAGACTACAGCTGGTAAACACTGAGACGTGAGAGGCAGAAGGGAGATCTATTGGCACAGAGATTTAGAATCTAACCACAGAAAGGAAACACAAGGGAAATAGCCCAACTTGAGAGCTGGTAAAATAAGTATTTATAACAGCAATACAGAATGTTCAGTGGAATAAAGAACAGTTTGAAAGGTAAGTTATGTATATGTAAAATTACACACATGTACTAGCTTGTAATATACACATTCAAGTATTCTACTAAAGGCATGCGAATAGCATTAGCAGATTAGGGCTTCGGGGTAGAATGTCATATATGTGATGTTGATTACATATTTGGCACAACTGTTGTAAACAAACACATATATTGTATACCATCATTGATTTTTACAGTTTATATCTAACAAACTTATTACAAACTTGAGCCTAACCACAGACTAGTCAATCATAATTTCATTTGATGAATCTACAATCTAGCTGATGATACTTTTTGGGGCGTTTTGCAGGAGACTGTTATAAATAACGTAAGACAGAGGGTTTAATTAACGTAGAACAACATGATGGGGTTTTGTATTTAATTCATCAAGATTTTAATTAATTCATAAAATGGTTAACATTTTTCATATTTTTATGTTAATATTTGCACATTATGGGAGATGAAATTACATTTATTTAAAAAGTGTGTACCGCTGTAACCCCCCCTCTTATCTCTTCCGTTTCCTTGGTAAAAGTTTTAAGATCTTATTTCATAGCATATTTTATACCATTCAATTATTTATAAAATAGCACATGGCTCACATAGGTGCCTACTACCTACCATAATAGTGGGCTGTATAGCAAGGTTGGTCGGGGTCGGGAGCTGGGGATAATTTTATTGCTTAAATATAACCATATCATCATCCTACATTAGAGTCCACTCAGTCTAACATCAATTTCTGGTGCGAAAGTTGTCATTTTTTAGTTTTACCCCCCTTGACGACAAATTCTTGGGGGTACTATGACAAATGCTTATAACTAAAAAAGTATTTATTTGATCATCTTCATTTTTGGCATGGGTGATGAACAGGTAGGTAAAAGTAAAATTTGAAAAATTCATACAAATTGGGTGATTAATCCATTCTAAAGATAATAATTCAGTTATTTTCAAGGGTCAATTTCAACATTTTCTGAATGTCGCCATGAAGGAAAAATGACTTTATGACCCAATGACATATTTATTGGATGTTTTTAGGCTTTAGAAAATAATTTGACTATATAAGCTAAAATAATAACATGAGAATTGTACAATATTGATAATTCTTCATCGCCATCCAGGCACAAATAAACTCCCCCCTCCCCCATTTTCGAATACAAAGGTCTATACCTGAAACTTCCTCAAATAGCTATATTTCAGAAACTATTACAGCTTACATTCCAAAATTTCTCATGGTGATTATACACATCATACTCTGCATAATAGATATATAATTGAGATTTATCCATTCTATATCTAATAATTAAGGTATTTTCAAGGTTCAATTTCAGCATTTTCGGAATGTCGCCATGAAGTAAAAATTACATGATCCAATGACATATTTATTAAATGTTTTTAGGCTTTAGAAAATAATTTGACTATATAAGCTAAGATAATAACATAAGAATTGTACAATATTGATAATTCTTCATCGCCATCCAGGGATAAATACCCCCCCCCCCCCCCATCTCAAATAGCTATATTTCAGAAACTATTACAGCCTCCATTCCAAAATTTCTCATTTTGATTATTCACATCAAAATCTGCATATTATACATATAATTGAAGTCTTAACACTTTTTTTGAGGGTGTAGCTAAGAATAATAGTATATTTATTCGACATCTTAGAAATCAAAATATATGTTTTAGAAGGTAGTCACAACACTACAAGAGAGATATTTTGGATTGTCATCATTTTTGAAAATATTACAAAAACATATTCATATTATGCAATAATCACCTATTTTCATTTGACATAAATGAAATATTTTATCCAGCTAGTTTAATGATTTCAGTATATGCATTTAATCCTGAGATGCACTTAGGTTTGATATCCATAAAGTAATCGTTTCTTTTTTGTTTGTAATTTAGTTTCTAAGCATAAAACTATAAGCATTAAATCTGTATGCTTTAGGATATACGTAATCAATACCGATGACTAAACATTCAATTGACAACATTCAGTCAATATGCTTGACAACATTCAATAATGATTAATATGTTCGACCAATAAGTTTTTGAATAACTTCACCAATACACTTTGCTTGAGTATTCACTTCAACATTTGCTTCAAGTAGTTGAACATTGTTAGTTATCAACATCACCTGAACATATTTCATCTATGAAATTGTTGGCTTCATTATCTATCATATCATTATCAATTTTGTCATCTGATTCAACTCTTGTGGAAGAATGGCATTTGGATTTTCAGCCCATTGTATATCAAGTTCGCCATTTTCTAGGATCCATCCATTTTCTGCTGGAGAAGGTATATCCATTTGGGCTTTGTGAGACTGCTTCCATATGTAATCTTGGTAGTTACATCTTTTACAATGTTGAACAAGGGATGACCTGCATGGAGGAAGGGGACTGATGTCTATCCCATCATAGTTGTTGATAGAGGCTTGAGGTTGAAATCTGTTTGCAAAATTTATGTATCGTACATGATTGATGTCTGTTTTTTTCTTTTCCCCGTACATGATGCACACAAATCTTTCGAGTTTTTGAAGATGCCTTGGTCAAGAACTATAGATTTTCCAAGTTCTTGAAAGATTGCATGCATGACCTCCCTCTTGATCAACTGTTTCAGAGGGTTTATTTTTCCTTTCTCATGAAGGCACTGGTGGTATCACACCCTGTAAAACAGTGAATACAGATCAGGGTGGCTGTGATTGGATCACCCAAACCTGCTACAGCTATCTTCACATCAATGAGGCGCCTCTTGTTTGAAACTCCAGTGTCAAACAGTACTTTAAGAAGTAGGTGTTTGATGTAATGTAGCAGGAGTATGGGTACATATGTTTCTGGAGATCTGACAAGTATGGTCTTGGCCTCAGCCCCCACCTGCCTTGATGCATATAAAGCATGGAGAATGATTTTTGTGTCAGCTTCATCATGGTTGCACCTTAGGTCTAGGACTTCCTCAATAACAACATGTGACCCATCACTTGTGAGTAAGAAGCAATTCTCCTGACAGACAAAGTAAATTGGCGTGTTCTGAATTTTTTGCATATTTGTCCTTCTTCCACTCTGCGAGGATAAGTTGGAAAAGCTGAATTTTGTTTTTGCTATTTGAAAGGAAGTCCTTCCAATTTTTTGGGACTTTAGTTTTGGGACCTTTCACTAGCAGTGGCTGCATTTTACCTCTACACCTTCTCTCTGGGTCCTTAATAGACCAAGAGGCTGAGGCCAAGACTATACTTGTCAGATCTCCAGACACATATGTACCCATACTCCTGCTACATTACATCAAACACCTACTTCTCAAAGTACTGTTTGACACTGGAGTTTCAAACAAGAGGCGCCTCATTTATGTGAAGACAGTTGCAGCAGGTTTGGGTGATCCAATCACAGCCACCCTGATCTATCCACTGTTTTATTTACAGGGTGTGATACCACCAGTGCCTTCATTAGAAAGGGAAAAATAAACCTTCTGAAACAGCTGATCAAGAGGGAGGTCATGCATGCAATCTTTCAAGAACTTGGAAAATCTACAGTTCTTGACCAAAGGCATCTTCAAGAACTCGAAAGATTTGTGTGCATCATGTACGGTGAAAAGAAAAAACAGACATCAATCATGTACAATACATAAATTTTGCGAACAGATTTCAACCTCAAGCCTCTATCAACAACTATGATGGGATAGACATCAGTCTCCTTCCTCCATGCAGGTCATCCCTTGTTCCAGCAGAAAATGGATGGATCCTAGAAAATGGCGAACTTGAAAATCCATATGCCATTCTTCCACAAGAGTTGGTAGACATTTATAACGAAGAATCAGATGAAGAAATTGATGATGATATGACAGATAATGAAGTCAACAATTTCATAGATAAAATCTTTTCAGGTGATGTTGATAACTAACAATGTTCAACTACTTGAAGCAAATGTTGAAGTGAATACTCAAGCAAAGTGTATTGGTGAAGTTATTCAAAAACTTATTGGTCGAACATATTAATCATTATTGAATGTTGTCAAGCATATTGACTGAATGTTGTCAATTGAATGTTTAGTCATCGGTATTGATTATGTATATCCTAAAGCATACAGATTTAATGCTTATAGTTTAATGCTTAGAAACTAAATTACAAACAAAAAAGAAACGATTACTTCATGAATATCAAACCTAAGTGCATCTCAGGATTAAATGCATATACTGAAATCATTTAAACTAGATGGATAATATATTTCAATTCTGTCAAATGAAAATAGGTGATTATTGCATAATATAATAATAAATATGTTTTTGTAATATTTTCAAAAATGATGACAGTCCAAAATATCTCTCTTGTAGTGTTGTGACTACCTTCTAAAACATATATTTTGATTTCTAAGATGTCTAATAAATATACTATTATTCTTAGCTACACCCTCAAAAAAGTGTTAAGACTTCAATTATATGTATAATATGCAGATTTTGATGTGTATAATCAGCATGAGAAATTTTGGAATGGAGGCTGTAATAGTTTCTGAAATATAACTATTTGAGAAAGTTTCAGGTAGAAACCTTTCTTTTCGCAAATGGGGGGGGGGTTTATCCCTGGATGGCGATGAAGAATTATCAATATTGTACAATTCTTATGTTATTATCTTAGCTTATATAGTCAAATTATTTTCTAAAGCCTAAAAACATTTAATAAATATGTCATTGGGTCATGTAATTTTTACTCCATGGCGACATTCCGAAAATGCTGAAATTGAACCTTGAAAATACCTTAATTATTAGATATAGAATGGATAAATCTCAATTATATGTCTATTATGCAGAGTATGATGTGTATAATCACCATGATAAATTTTGGAATGTAGGCTGTAATAGTTTCTGAAATATAGCTATTTGAGGAAGTTTCAGGTATAGACCTTTATATTCGAAAATGGGGAAGGGGGAGTTTATTTGTGCCTGGATGGCGATGAAGAATTATCAATATGGTACAATTCTCATGTTTTTATTTTAGTTTATATAGTCAAATTATTTTCTAAAGCCTAAAAACATTCAATAAATATGTCATTGGGTCATAATGTCATTTTTACTTCATGGCGACATTCAGAAAATGTTGAAATTGACCCTTGAAAATACCTGAATTATTATCTTTAGAATGGATTAATCACCCGATTTGTATGAAATTTTCAAATTTTACTTTTACATACCTGTTCATTACCCATGCCAAAAATGAAGATGATCAAATAAATACTTCTTTAGTTATAAGCATTTGTCATAGTACCCCCAAGAATTTGTCGTCAAGGGGGGTAAAACTCAAAAATGACAACTTTCGCACCAGAAATTGATGTTAGACTGAGTGGATTCTAATGTAGGATGATGATATGGTTATATTAAAGCAATAAAATTATCCCCAGCTCCCGACCCCGACCAACCTTGCTATACAGCCCACTATAAATGCCAAAAATAGATAGCTACCCTTGCATCAATACTAAACTGTACTTGTAGTAAATTACCTGAAAAAATACATCTGGTTTGTTTATTATTTTTAGTTGAAGTTTACAAAATACTGCCTTTGGCCTAGTGTGATTTTAATGATTTATTAGCTTTCTCCTTACATTCCTGTTTCTGTTATTTTTCATGGGGGTGTGTATGTTAAAGGTTAAATCTTTATTAAATTGAAATAACATTTGTATTTAAAGGCTCATATTCAACTCACTTAATTTTAAAATGGGTTTGAACTTTTTCCACAAATTCTTAAGTCAGTGTAGAACGTATTTTCTCTGTTGTGACTTTGAGGCCCACAGTTCTATTGGGATAGGGTTGATAGGACTAAAAGTATATTTACTCAATACCTTATGGGAATATTTCAATTTGCAAGGGCTGCTATCTTACTGGCTGGAAGTCAAGGTTATAACTTATTAGTTTTGTTTTTGGTTTCTATGGCAACCCTATCAAAATATATAATTTTGTTGGTTTTTCATATTTTGCATGATAAATCACTTGTATAAAACATAATAAAAAAAACTGGTCCCATTTTCAAGCACATATTCAACTGCAACACATTAATTTAAATTAAAGGGAGCATTAGAGTCCATTTCACAGCTTCATTTCGTCAGTAGAACGGCAAAAATAAGAAATTGGGAGACCATTGTGCAATAATATATGGAAAAGTATATTCATAATGTACATGAATGACATTTGTATATCTTGGATTGCTTCTGGTTTGGCTTATAAAGTGTGTGGCCTCTTATATTTGGATGTTTCTCTGCCATGTTATTTTCAATAAGATTAACATGGCTGAAATTCTTCAAATTACAAGGTGGCACAGGCTTATTGCACAAAAAACTAAAAAATCTGAAATATACAAATGTCATTCATGTACATTATGAAATACTTTTCCATATATTATTGCACAATGGTCTCCAAATTTCTTATTCTTGCAGTTCTACTGATGAAATGAAGCAGTGCAATGGACTCTAAACCCCCTTGTCTTGCCAATTTTCTGATACAGTATTGTGTAATTTAAGGGTAACATTAGAAACTTTAAACTGTGAATAAATGTGATTAGATCTTTCCTCCTAATTGAAGGATATACAGTAAAACTTGTTTTGTTGAACACCTTGGGGTGGAACACCTCCATAGGTGGAACTTTTCAAAAACATCTCCAAATAACTATAGACAGATAGGTGCACCCTTGTTGGTTATGTTGCCTACTGCATAAAGTATACCCCATTTCAAAGTTCATTATCTTGAAATTATTTATAAGGTCAATTTAAGAAGATAATAAGATGAACATTATTTTTTCAGACATCTCTTTCAATTAAACACCTCTAGAAGCAGAATACCAGTTATCAATCAAAATGGTAGAACACCTTCCGAGTGGAACACCTATTTTCAGTTGCAGTATTGACAACATAACTTTCTTGAAGCTGGAAAAGCTGCTTACCTATTTTCAAATGTTCAGATTTGGCTGTCCACTCATACAGATTTTACTGTATCTATCATGTACATGCATATTTATATACCTATGAATTTCATATACTTTCAGGGCTTGGCAAAGGGAAGAAATCCACTGGGGGTGGTAGTGATGGTGGCAAAAATGACCTTGTTAGCGTGCACAAACGTAAACGTAGATTTAAACAAACTAATGCCAGCGAGCTTGCAAAATGGACCCACATCAAGGATACCCTTGGGGAAAAATATGAATCATCAAAATCCAAAGATTTCATGACAAGATACGAACTGATGAAAGGGATGATAAAAGATGCTATTGAGGAATGTGAAAAAGCTGAAAAATTCAAAGGGTTGCCTAATAAGGCGGAGTCTGGTGTGCAAAGTGGGTCAGGGGGCGGGAAGATTGGAAGATTGACAGCTGCCTGTAAAGAATTTGCCGAATCAGAGAATGAAATTATGAATGAGGAGGAGTTTTATCTAGGTGGGTAATTTTGTTGTTTAAGCTCCAATGAGACCATAAATGTTAGCTGGATCAAAGTAAATTTAAATTAAATGTGTTTTTATGTTTCATTTGTTATACAAAAGTTTAGTATGTTTTTCATTGTTGCCCATAATGCTTTCTCAATTTATTTGTCATTAAATGGTCATTTTTGTTTTCTACCAATATATTCATTTGGGTGCATGAAATACATTGATGGATCAAGATGGATCATTTAAAAATATTTCATTTGATAAATAAATATATAGATTTTGAATGAATTGACAGTTTCACACTCAAAATTAAACTATCACAATCTGTTATCAATAGTTGCAAATAATTGGAATATTAAATTGAAAAGGTGATTTAATATCTCTGGATTAATGAGATATATTCTACATGATCAAAAATGATTTTACTGCATAACAAGCTGCAACTCTCTATCTGCTGATCTGTCTGAACATTCATGAATAGGGAGGTTAAGTTTCAAATTTTTGAGAGAACCTGTCTGTGGATGTGAAGAATTATAGTCTTCTATGGGGAGGTGATCTCCTTATTTGTATTTACTTGCAATTGGCTGCTTGAGTACAAAGGCCCAAGGAAAAAAGTTCTGATTAGGTCCCCTTTATTTCTGTCATTGAGATAGGACAGTAATCCTTGGAGGTCGATAATTATATTACACATTCAGATACACTTTTTCATAAAACGTGTAGCTTTAACCTCCCTTATACAAAACATAATCTAAAAGCATGCAAATGTCAGATGCAACATTTTGATTCAATTGAAAAAATCAATGATCATTTCAATTGAAACAGCCTTTCCAAATTATTGATTTAAATCATGCAGTTTGTCTCTGTCTGAATCTGTTTTTAATCAATTAAAGACTTACAATGGATAGATACACACATGTGGTATCATGTTTACTGTGAAATGGCTTGAATCAGGGGTAAGGCAGCAGGATGAAACTAAGTGGAGTTAGTCTCATCCAAAATGGTGGGCAAAAGTTTGCTTTAAGATTAACCAAGTCAAATCTGGATTCCAAATATTCTGCCATGTAATCTGATATTGTGATAATTCTGTTTCTAAATGGTTGCATAGAAATTCTCAAGCATCTTTGAAACTAGAGTTCAAAGAAAATATCTTTGATTGGGTTGTGTCTAGAGCAATCTCCCCAGTTTCATTACAAATTCAATATAACAAGCTCACTAGTTCAGAGGATAACTTATAATTGGCCTTATGAGTAATACATACTAGTAACAAGGCATACAGTAACATACTAAATGTTGCCACCTGCTAATTGTTACAGACACCAACTGCCGAATGCCAACCATTGTCCATGGAACACCATCCACAAAAAAACCTTGAGACTACAACAATATGACACCATTTCTAATGATGACATAAAAACAAGATATGTGCCTTTGAATATTGCATAATAATTCCATGAAATAAAAATATTTTTGTTAAAGTCTCAATTGTATTTTCAGGTAAATCATCCAAAGATCTAGAACGAGAGATTCAGCTTATGGACATCGAAATTCCGCAGATAAAACGAAACATTGACATTCTAAAGGGAAAATTCACTGACTTAAGTCGTGAATATGAAGGGTCTAAGAATTTAAATCCAAAACAGAGATATGACAAACTAAAGGACCTTATCAAGGGAATGTATAGGGAACCAAAAAAGTTTTAAGTTCATAATCATAAATGGATGGAATACTGAAGAAAAGCTATAATAGTGCAGACCTTAAACAGTGATTATATCCTGGTGCAGGATACATAAGATTTCTCTCTCTGTAGGCCTAGAACCAAAATAAATAAGTACTAATTTAGGTGAAAATTTCTTAAATTAGTTCTCATTTTTTGCAGTAACTTAAGAATCAATCTTTGCTACGATATTTCAGAATTAGAGTTAATTTATTTAGAATGTGTCTCTGGATCAAACATATGTATATGTATTTTTCTTTCAATAAGAAAACTCAGAATGTGTTTCTCTGTAAAGGAAAAGCCCAAGATTAAATTTTCATATAACATCTGTATCATAAGCTGAATAAGTCGTCTAGCCTGGGCAAACACAAACTGTCACATTTTGGTTAAACCATTAATGTAGAACTTAAGTATAATGGTTATATAAATGTATAGCATTAACAAGTCATATACTTTATATCAAGTATTTATAACTGACTTGCTAGTTGTTATAAGCATTCCATAAATAAATATTGAGCACTAGTCTTCTTATATTTATTACTTAAGTGTCTTAAATTTCAGGATTTAGAACTCCCAATTGGGTAGAGTGTTCATTTAGTACTGAAAAATCAATGGGATAAGAACTATTTTGTCACTTATAATATGAATATGCATTTACATGTACAGTCTAGCTTCAGTTACAATATGAGTACTTAATTTTATAGTCTTGCTACAAGCCCTTGTGACCCCCCCCCCACTATAAGTGCGAAAAGGTTTTAGTCAAGTCATGGGCTTTCGAGAGAGGGGGTCACAGAGACTTGTAGCAAGACATCGCATTTAGTAAGAAAACATGCATTACATTAATACTCATACGAGTAGTATTTGTGCTCATTTAATACTAAGAAGCCAGGAGTACTGCATCGTGAGATATCACAGCCTTCTCTCAGTTTCCTTCTAGAATTTTTGTGCATAGCAGAGATGGTCAGAGTATCAGAATGGGAGTACTGAGTTCTCGGCATATCTCCCCATGATAGACTGAACATGTCCCTTTAATGTGTAAACTTAACATGTACAATAAGCCGATGATTTTAAATGCAATTATTAATGGAAATCAAACATTAACACAATGTGTGCACACTATGCAGCTTATAAAAAACAATAAAATATACAAATTGTTTTTGATTCAATTTTTAGGTTTGTTGATAAAGTCTATACTATATCCTACAATTTGTCACACGGTTACTTCATCACATCAAAAAATGTTTCCATAGTTCCTCGCTATGGTTACAAGAACAAAAGTCGAAACTTAAAACTTGCAATCCATTTCCCTAAAGTGATCAAGTAAACAAATTGAAAGCTAGGATTATAAACATGTTAAATTGTAACTTGACCTTTGAAAGGAAAGCTCTGCCATGGAATTTAATATATTTCATACTGAGAATTATGTAATATAATATTCCAAAAATCTATTTTTAAATTATTAATTCCCAATCGTTTGTAAAGGTTAAGTGGAAAAGCAATTCTTACGATTGACTTAAACACATGAAATCAAATGATTTCATTGAAAAAAATATGATATTCACATTTAATGATTATTATGACAGATAAGCAAGTTGGCACATACATGTAGCCACATGCGCATATACCATCAGAAGTTTCTTTTTAAGATCATAAGAATGGGTTGCATCAGAAAGCCTCTTTTCAATTCAATTGAACTATTTCCATATAAATGGAAAAATGGATGGCATCATGGGTGTTGGTAGGGCTAGAATATATATGGCAGCCTATGGCAAGAGTCACTTAATTTCTTGATTTAAGAAGTAATTCCAGTTTGGATCAACTTAACACTCCATTAGGATCTATCTATATGATATTTTTCATAAAACTTGAAAATCTTTAGAATTTAAATAAAGGTAAATAACTATATAAATCAAAGTTGTTTTGATAAAAAATTACACACAAAATTCAAATATGCCATCAAAAAGAAGAAAATGTTAGTCTTTAATGGTTAAAAATGCAGATCTACAGAAAGCTACATGGAAAAGACTCCATTGAAGGGAATACTTATTTGAATTGATAAATGTTACATACAATCCTGCATTAAGTCTCTGGACCTACTACCAACTTCTCATTTGAGAAGGGGTTAAGACATTCTGATACTCAAGCATCTTTCTGTTTCACCTGAAACTCAGGGCGCTGAGAAGAAATGAGATGTCATGGTTTATCATGATGGGGTGAAGAGGGCTTGAAGCAAGATTACATCCAAAAATTTTTAATTCAGAATTTTGCATCAAAATTATGTTTCGATAAAGCAGAATACATACATAATGTACAGCCCTTGATGAAAGTTACTGTTTTCCTAATTTCTTTTGATGTGTGCACCAGTTGCATGCATTTATGGGTAAAGCAATTAACACGTGATTCTAAATATACAAAAATAGATTTTTATTCATTTTTAGTTCTAGAGTACATTGTTATAACACAAACGTCCATATGTTGGAAGATTTGGTTTTGGCAAAATATCTTGCATATACAAGAACAAGATTACAGAGTGACAACATTGTCTTTTAAACATTTAAAAACAGTAATAACATTTTTCAAATTTAAAAATCAAAATTGAGTATTCAGCTCAGCTGTTAATTCTTGAACTATTTAAACTATAACTGACATTCTGTATAATGTAGAGGTATGTGTGTAGCATAACATCCCCAAATTAATTTAATTTTGTTTTACTTACATATAATTGTACCTTTGTGTTTCTAAAAGTCCAACAAATAGTATCTCCCCAAAGACAAACTGTGTTCAGAATGTGTCCAGTAGCGCATGACTCACAAAGGTGTCTTAGATCAGATTCAGGTACTGTATATAATAGTATGATTGCATCTCTGTCTATTCAGTGCCTCGTTGGCAACAGTTTCCTGTAGCACTCGTTACTTTCAATGTACAATTTTATTGTGATCTGTACATAATAACAAGTCACACTGCTATGATTGGGCATCTTCAAATTGTCCTGTTTCCATAGATTCTGTGGGGGCAGTGCCTGGAATGTCAAAAAGGATTTTAATTGATTAAAAGATGTCTCTGCAAGGCATATATAGTACTATGCAAAATGGCACCACCTTTATTTGTTTCAGATGCCGAATGCCAACCACCATACACTGTCACAAAAAGTTGTTCACTAGGTAAAAGAGAAAGGCTGTTTTATTATCTAAGAAGTATGAAATGAAATCCACAGAGCACATATAAATCTATCAAGATCACAGAAATGGAGCACAAGGCATTAACATGCAAAATGTCACTGCCTGTTCTTTGGTATAGATGCCACACACTCCGAATAGCAAATGCCAAGCACAATCCGTAATAAAGTTGGAGACAATAACAATGAGCCTAAAATGGGCATAATAAAACCATTTTCCTCATAAAAACTGGGAGCTAAATGTTTGTAGAGAACTTCACCATAAACAGAAAGAATGGATATTTAAAGGCATCCTCATCTCAAAAATTGCTTTAAACATCTAAAAGTTCTTACATAAACAGGCAAAAAAGTTATATACATGTAATTCAAATAATGCTCCATAGTTTATGTGGCACTTACCATTTACAGGCATGTTTGCTTGGCTATTGGCCAGCATGTTTTCTAGTCTTGCTAGAGTTGCCTGTCCTTGTATTGACAACTGTATATCCCCATCCCCATCTCCAATGTTCTCTGCTGTGTAAAAACCCTCTGAAAGTTAGAAATATCTGCATTGAAATATCTATGGAGAAACTCTGTAGGTTTGCCTCTGGTCACAAATAAAAATTAATGTTTTGTAAGGCCTGATATTGAATTTGACAACAAATAGGTCCGAGGAGAATGTATACTGGTAGGCCAAGTTTACTCATTTTCTATCAGAACTTTAAAAGCGTTTTGATGTTATTAGAATTTCTAAATATTTCACCAGGTTTTTTCCTCATGTTTGGAATGCACTATGCAGTTTTTTGTGAGAATACAGTAATTTAAAAAAAAAAATCCTACCAAGACTTCCTGTGAATGGTTCATGTCCTACATCTCCATCTTCTCCTGGCTCTTCCATTCCCTCTTCTTCCTCCCCTAATTCCTCATCTCCACTAGAAACATCCTCGGGGTCTGGGTGCAATGCTTGGCACTCACACATATTTCTGTACATTGTATCCACTGAAATATAAGTATGGCATATGAATATGTTAAAATAAAGTTATAATTAAAACAAGGCGTTAACATGCAAAATGTCACTACCTGCCATTTGTTACATTCATTACAGACACCAAAATTCTGAATGCCAACTGCCAAAATGCAGAACACTGTCAACAAAAAAAGTTGGATACTAAAGCAATATGTCAGCAATTCTGGTGGCGACATGCAAATGGTAAAATTCGGGGGGCTCACAAAATGCATTGTATTGCATAGCTATGATATTTTGATGACAATAAAGTTGATGGGACCTACTGTTAGTTACAAGTATGGACATCCATAAAATGAATATGAACATTTGTTCATGGATGAATGGATGAGTGGATGAATGATTGGATGATTCCATAAGCTCACCAGAAGACTGACATAATTACTGTCACTGAGTGCAATAAACATAATAATAATAACAAAGGCATCAACATGCAAAATGTCTCCACCTGTCATTTGTTACAGACTCTAACAACCAGATGCTATCATGCGCAGGGTCTAGTTATAAACTGTATATATAAACTACTATGAAGACAAAGCTCTCTTTTGAGAAGCGAAGTCGAACAAATGCAAAACTCAATCCACAAGAAGTTGGAGACTATATCAATATGTCAAGACATGTTTGGTGACATAATAATAATTGAGACTGATGACTTAGAAATCACTTGAAATGTATGGCTGTTAGCCAGCAAACCTACACAGCCAATATAATTCGGCGCCATTTCGGCATCGAAAACATTTGGCACTGTTCCGGCACCGTTCCGGCACCAAAACCTTTGGACACCAAAATTTGCCACCGGACTAGTCAGTCCAGAAATTTGGCACCGAAACGGCATCGAAAATCAGATTGCATTTTGGGGGTGTATAGACAAACATTGCTAATATGTCCTTGTTATACTCACAGGTTTCTTTGTTCTGTGGTATGAATCTTACATCAGTAGTTGCACTCTCATCATCATCATCATCCTCAGCATCCTCCCCACTTTCCCTGTCATCTACAAGAAAATGAGGATTATTATAAGGGGTTGCTTCAAAAGCTTAAAACTGAAATCTACTAATAATACATTGAATTAGCTAATGAAATAGTGTAACCAGTCTTCTGATGAAACAGACATTTTCGAAATTTGATTCTTTGATATTTGAAGGGTGATATTGGCAAGAACTTCTATTAACATTGCTTGTAGACAGAACAGAAAATTATGTTGAAGTTGGAATACTTTTAAATTTTAGAGAAAACAAAAAAATTAATAATAAAAATGATACATTTCATTTATTATTAATTAGTTTCAGAGCCTGTTACATTATCTCTGAAAATTACATGCTCTCTAATAACCAAAATCTAAATTACAGAGATATTACAGGCTTTAAATAGAGACTCTGATAAATTATCAGTTCATGCTTTTTACCTGTGAGTTTTCCATCTATCATGAGGTAGAGACATTCTTCTGGAAATGTTGTTGTGTCGCGTGATACAGCATGGAGAGAAATCTGTTCATAGTCCAGTGAAAATCCTGTTCCTTCCGCACTCAACCATGATACTTGGCTGAAAACAAAGACATAAAGTTTAGAGATCTATGTTCCTACTGCTATAGCTATACTCATAAAGTGAAATTAAGATGAGAATAAAATATTAACACAAAATAAAATATCTACCTTAAAATATCTTGTGATACCATTTGCCACATATAACATTTGTTTCTAAATCTCCTTGCTTAGCGCGTAAGAGTGTTTCTTTGAGGTGATTTGGGGAGTTCCAATTTCAACAGGCTACATGTACATAACCACACACATGGAATGTTGAAAGTGGAATGCCAAATGCATTTACAGGAGTATGAGGGAAGGATAAATGTTAAGGAGGTGATTGTATCCATGTACATGGCTGCTGGAAAGCCATTTGTCTCGCATTTGCCTCCTGGACTTATAGCCGTCATTGTGTTTTCTCTATGGAAGCATACTCCTGCTGAACAGCAGAACTGTAGATCGTGGGATGATCATAGAAACTTACTCCATAAAAAAATTTGTTGGAATGCTATTATGATATGATCTAATATGATGATACTGAAAAAGGTGTGAATATGGTACACTCGGAATAATTATTTTTCCATTAACGTTTTTAAGTATTTTAACCAAGGCTTCTATATTATTTTGGATAATCTAAATACAGACTATTTCATGCAGACGCACAATTGACACTGTCATATTGCATGTGCTAGTTCATTTTCTCTGCAAATTAGCTTCTTTTCAATTAAAAGAAACTGTGAAAATACTGACATTTCTTGTAAAAACCACCTACTCCGACACATCTTCCAAATTAGTTGATGACATCCTGTGTAATATAACTAGAGGAGCCATGGGGCATTCCTGGACAAACCCTTGGTATCAGGTGAAAATCCGGGGCATTGTTAGATTTTTTACAATATATAGCACCACATCGATAATATGATAATGATAATATCGTAACGGCGATTTATAAATATCAGATTTTTTAAACATCAACATAATGCGTGATTTGCGTGACATTTTATCGTACACGCAACGCAAAATTGATGCTAGTTCAACAAGTTAAACCCAATACCCACGGTGCCCATGTCAAGCTGCGCGCCTACTTAGGCGCGCAGTTTGTTTCGATCACAAACTGCGTGCCTAAGAACATTGCATCATTTAAGTTGGAGTCTGTATTTTGAAACGTAATTTAAAGACATTTATCCTGCATTGTTTTCTTGTTCAATGCGTTCATTCTGTGGCGAATATACAAATCTTGCAAATACTAGCAAAAACTATGTGCAAATGAATCTAAGTTTTGAAACATAAGCAGATTAATGGCATTTTCGTCACTGATTTAACGGGAATTTATACGTAAATCGATCTAGCACTTTAAACATAAATGACAAATACTTTAGACTCGTTTTGTATTTAATTCCTTACACATTTATCATGTATAATTCAAAATATTTCGAGATAAAACAGATAATCAGGAGATTAAAAAGAAATAAATCACAAACTGCGCGCCTATTTTAGCCAGAAATTACAAACTGTGCGCATACACTATTAAAACTACATATTATCATTGGAATTTCTACAGAGGCACATGTAGGTGTTTTTCATGTAGCTTTGGAAATTTTGCTTTATCGTCAGATTTTATGAGATTTTCATATTGAAAGTCAAAATGTATAATAGAAGTGACAATTAAGTTGGGAACGAAAAAAACTTTTATTTTCAGATCACCATCTTGGTGGATGGACTCATAGTGTTTCAATTATGGGGTTCTACTATTAGACACATATGTGCCTTATATGGCGATTATGTTTTCTAATAATACAAAACAAGCTTGGATGGACAAGCAGTTTGGAAATATTAGGCACGCAGTTTGAGAAATACATGTGAATATAGGCGCGCAGTTTGACAAGAAAAGTGTTTAAATCACGTTTATGGCGTATTATCGTTTTGAACACAAACTTTGCTGATTTAATCAGATGGAGTGATCCTATATATTCTAGCATACACAAAAGGACATAGATATAACTTTACACTGTAAATTTTGAACACAGAAGTTACTTAAGACCCTTATATTGAGATAACTAGGTTTACATCGAAAAAAACATTGAGTACTATGAGTAAATTAAGTTCATCTTCACAGAATGGTACAATCTTTAGAACGAGACTAACCTTGTATTTTTCGTATTTTGGCTCTTTTTGGGAGTCGTGTCCTCCCCATCTCACATTTTGAAATATGCGCACAGTTTGTCAGAGTTTCAAACTGCGTGCCTAGTAGGCACGCTGCTTGACATGGGCATCGTGATACCACTGCTTTCATTTATTAATCTGAATGTTATTGTTGCCGTGATTGGGTTTAACTTCCGTGCTATGCTTTCATTTGTTGCAAATTCTCACAATCACTTATTAATCAAATGCGCATGAAATTCCATGCGCTCGCATAGACCACAATTAGTTTTTTTTGCATCAAGGGCTGGATAGGCACAGAGGTTAAACCTAGGGCGGGTCACAAGATATGTCAGATAAGAAAGAAGGCCCTAGACTGTATCCTTCGTCTGAATAAATATTCAGACTGTAAGTCACCTATTGTAAAATGTGGTGTTGTATAAATGTTACAAATAAGTTTGTTTAATGATAAAATGATTAGATCTACCTTATAAAGAACTTACAATATTATTTTTTCGTATATTGTCCTCTTACTGAAGATATTCATAAAATGTACAGACGCTTCTTGTAGCGAAGCCATTGATTAGGTCAAGCCATTTTGGCAATGCCAATTCTCACGATAAACGAGATTTAGCCAGTGACGTCAGTCTATTTGTAAACAAATAACACGTGGAGCGGACGGAGCAACATTACGGAAGCGTATTGCTAAATTCCATTTGTGCAGGAATTTATTAGATCTAGTCATTTATTATCATTATCCCGATTAATTTTCTTCATTTATAGTAAATAGAGCGGAAATATTCATGAAGAAGGCCGAGGTAATCAAGTGGTCATGTGTTGTCAAAGTTCAAAATTTGCATATCTCGTTTGGATCTCGTGAACTCAAACGTCCTTGACATTGATTTCGCGCTCTACTTATGAACACATCCTGAAGTTTTGGTGAGTCTGAACATTTCATTATTTTATATCAACTTGTACCCGCCTTATACAAATAGTTTTGCTTCTAGTTTAAGATGAACATCTCGTCAACATATTCACCAATTTTCAAGGTGAACATTCTTATAATAAACGAGAAATTAATGTGCAAAAAATATCATCGCGATTTCCACAGGAAATATATCAATCATAACAGACCGAATATTATATTCGGCCTGTTGGATACATACTAAAGAAGGCCCAGACTAGGTTTAACCTGTTGAACTAAATTGATGCGTGATTTCAATTTTTCCAGCAAATGCGTGACGGCCACGCCTAATGTGTGAGGGTTGACAGGGCAGCAAGATGGTATCAAGTCTGAATAGAGAAAGGAAATCCATTTTCATACTCACTTCTCAGTGATAAACAATGTTCCATTCCCAAAGTTATGATCATCAACTTGAGAAGAACAATTTTCTTCTTGATGAACAATGCCCACATTTGGAATAGGAAAACTCGTCAACACAACCATGGTTTCTTCTCCGATTTTGCCTAGATGTACCTATGATACTCCACAGGCAGTTACGCTAATCAGTGATGCTATTTGGTGCGTTGTTGCGATGTAAACAGTTAATGAAACGGAGCGATAAATGCACGTTTTCCAGATGTCAAAATGTGGCGGTGTTGAATTTTGACCAATGAAATTCAAGGTCATTCACAGTGCGGAGGGAATAAAGTAGTTTTTGCGGAGTGATTTTTTTCACTTTCAACTAATATTCTGATCTATCATTCTTCATATATAATTTAAACTATGGATTTCTGATTTAAAAATCTATATTGAAGTTAGAGAGCATTTTGAATGATTGATATTTTCCAAATTATATGCGTGTTACTTTATCTATTATTACTTGCGGAAGATTTATTTTCGAGTGCTCTTCGGCTCATTTTAACAAATTTTGTAATTTGTCGGTCAATATGTTAACTTTGCCGAAAAAGAGATAGTTATCTTTCCGTAATGTCTTAGAATAGCTACAATGGTGGTATAGGAGCACATATATAATCAATTGAGTGCAATATAAACCAATATATTGCTCACATTGGTCTCGGGAAGATCAAAAATTTTTGAAAAAATTGATTTTTTCATCCAATTCATTTCTCAAGTGGACAAAGAGCAAAGAACAAGATATTTAACATCATGGCTATTGTAAATCCTCCAAACGATACTGGATATTTTGGATGGGCGTACGATGGAGTTGATCACTCGATAGCTGGTACAGGAGGGCCAGAGTGTAGGGACTTCATTAGCCCAAAACAAAAACTAATTGAGACGACTGTATTTATTTTGATTTCTATTCTTGAAATGGCCTGGGCATACCCACGGCTACAAGTACCAGACAAAGTGCCATACACAGAAAGATTCAATGCAGGGAGTAAAAGACTATTGTTAGTAATAATGTGTTTGACATATGGAATAGAACTAGGGTTCAAGTTCGCCACGCGTCAAATGATTTGGATCCTCAATCCCTGTCATCTAGTCACAATGGTTCAGGTAAGCTTTTATCATTTTTGTTTATGTAGTTTATTTCTTCTAAGCTTGTTTATTTGTGTATCAAGAATGAGTGATAGATTATGTGTAAATAAGTAATAAAGATATAACGTGCAGTACATGAACAGAATAGAGATTTGTTAGAGAGTGATCTCCGCGGCATTTTAGCAAGTCTGCAATTTACCTACTTTAAAAGTGGTTTGTGACCATTTGCATACCCTCTTGAAAACGAGAATGTCAGGTGTAAGGCAGTTGTAGTTACGAGCTCGGTGATATATAATATGTAGTCTTAGATTAATTGCTTCACTTATATACCCCCGTTGAAAAACAAAGTAGGAAACTTGGGTATATATAATCCAGTCTAGGGGAGAATAGATTGCTAATAAACTTTCAAACATTATCAAGAGTATTATGCACTCTTCAAGATTGTGATACTTGGACCTACCTTAAGGTTCATCATTGAAACAAGTGGTCCAAATCAAATAAATGAAACTGAGTAGTGAGAATACATTTCTTGTTTCTTGATTTTGGCAGGCTCTAGCATAAATCCTTCCATCAAATCACTGCCTTCATGGTACAACCTGGGCTTGAGCTAAGGGCCAGTTCACTGGTCATTTGCCAGGCCACTTTTGATATGGACCAGTTGATTTTTTCGGTAGGTTTAGTAAAATCACATGGCAACTGCATACAGTATATGCACTAACAGCGTTATAGATTTGTGTTGCTGTTTAAGTCATTCCCATTTCCTTAAGGCACATTGTAACATACAGCTGACAAAATGGTTAAAAAAATCTTTTTTCGATTTCATGGTTTTAAACCTCTGATGATTCTATGTTCGAACTATGCATGCAGATCCATTCAAAGTCGTCTATTGAACCTTGAAAAGCCATATTTAGACTTGAGTATTGAAAGGTGTTCACAACAACTTTCAGCTCATCTTTATAACGATAGACTGGAAGTGAATTTTTCGAGTTGAGCAAATGTTGATAATTTTGTTTTTATGAAGCAGGGAAGTCAAAACATTACAAATAGAATTCGTAGTTAAGCAAATGAAGATGCATTTAAAATCGAATCCACAGCAAAACCTGAAATAATCAATATATTCCACACAGACCTCAGAGAAAACACTTCCAAGTTTATATTCCATAATTTTATCGATCAAAAAATATTTTCGTGATTTTTTTCGATATCTGCTGAAATATGGTACGCATACTTTTGTTGATTGTAAAATTTCAAAATAGGTAGGGTAAAGAATATGTAACAGTCGTTTGATCTTGTCCCAGAAGCAATATTTTGTTATTTTTATTGCCTAGAATTCCTTTGAATGGCATGTTTAAATCAAACATTTATTATACGGGTGATAACTGATAATTATTAAATTGCATTTATTCAAACTTCACTTCTGTCAACATGAAGTCAGATAATAATGTTTAATAAGTAGACAGTTGAAAATTATAGTATGTGTACTCAAATGTATTTATGTTAAATTGTTGTTCTCTTTACATGCTATTTTTGTGTCAGTCAAGTTTAGACTGTGGAAACAATCAATATTTGCCAATAAGTAAGCTACATGGATTGCAGTGCCGCGCCAGTCTTAAAGCCTAGCGAGAGCCCTAGACTGTATCCTCTTTTAGTTCTTTCAACACAACTGAACAAGGGTAAAACCATTAGGACTTTGATGAAACAAATGTCTGAATTTCATGACCAGAATAATAAAGAATATATATATTAGAACATTGTTAAGTACAAGGAAACAAACAGCATCATCACAACTAATGACATAATACACAAAGAAAGAACACCTTATGACCTTATAAGAAGATAACCCTATAATACCCTGTGACAACAGCTTTTGACCTAAGTTACGATAAGATATATTCATATTATTTTGGGCCTGAGAAGACATTAGGAATTGGATTGAATAAAACATGTTTGATTAGAACAAGAGCTTTCATATGAAAGAAATAATCTGTAGTATGATTAGATTTGCCAGATGAAGTCATATTTTATTGGTGAATCTGAGTAATTGGCAAAACTTATATAGTCTTGCATCAGGCCCTTGTGTACCACTCCTACTTAATTCACATGTTCTATGTGATTGATGGAGTGACAGAAGGGAGAGGCTTTGTGCAAGACCAAAATGTAACAAGACCATTCTGGTTTATCAGACTCAATAATCAATATTATTTACTCAAAAGAGTCAAGATGAAGTGGGTGTATATTATTATTATTATTCTACATATGTTTGGTATGGAAAATGATGGGGAGGGGGAATCACCAAGGCTTTAATAAATAACTAAAAAGAAAGTGAACTTTTCTGGTTACCAGATTCCACTACTTGTGTGGTTGTATGCCACTCCTAACTACTTTGTACATATGCTGGGTATGAAAATTAATTGGGGGCAGACTTGTGCAAGACTAAAATATAACTGGACCATTCTGGTTTACCAGATTCAATATCTACTTGGAAGAGTCAAGGCAAAGTCAATGTGCATAATTGCAATTAGACTGGGTTAAAGTGTATTGATCACACTTGTGTGTTTTATCAAGACCAGGAACCTCTTGCTTCTTAGTTAAAACCAAAAAGAGATGCTAAATGTAATTAAAATGTTAATCCCCTAAGAATATATGGATTTTCTAGTCCATCTAGCCCCATTAATAACTTGCAAAACACGCTAAAATAAGAATCAGCTATAGCATTTCTAAAGCATACTTTTTGTATACAATACAGTCCAGAAATTCCATGTTGCAAAGGACATGATAACACAGAGTAGATAGTGATTGGGGCAATGAATAATTTATGTTTTATCTAACATTATTGCAATTCCGAGATATTCCCTTGATATATGAATATGGTATGGGTGTGTAATTGTAGACCATGTGATCAGTCACGATTTAGCTGTCTGATGCCATATTGAAACTATTATTTACGAGTAATAATCCCATTGGAGTTTAAATAAATTGAAATTTCTTTTTGGTTTTAATATTTAATCATTGGTATTTCTGTATTCTTTAATGCTGGTATCTTCAATAATTTGTATGTATTAATATATCATGCATCTAACTTTAATATGATAATGGTGAAAAATCATGACATTTCTACACCTGGACTTTCAAACGAATGAATGGTTGCTATTTTTCCATGTTGTCATTGTGTCATGAGATACATGTAATTTTTTAATTTTACAACTGCACACCGGAATAGCCTGACAACGGTAAAGTCAGATACCGTTGTCACAAATGGCGGACATAACCGTCGCTTCAAGTCTTTGATCACTTGGTCCTCGTTTCATGGGACTTTTTCGTCGCTAATTCTGTGCATGTGCTAAGCTCGTGTGATGATATGTTATATGAAATCCCAATTTCTATCAAATGGGGTTGTGAATCGCCACAAAATAGCGTCTTCGATATTGTCAATGACAATGGAATCTGAATTTGAAATAATTAACAAAGACAAAGGCATATGGTAAGATGTGACAACGGACTATGGTAGATGTGTTGCATTGGAACATAGGAAAATGACAATGGTAAATAGTTTTATATTTTATGTTTTAAATGAATCTAGTAGAACACTTCAAAAGTGGAAGACTTTAGAGGCACCAAAGATGTTCCACTTAGACAGGTTTTATCTTTACATCGTAAGTTCGATAACTGCCATCACTTTTTGAATGAGTTACCTTGAAATATCAAGACATCATGCTATTCTCATACTTATAGAACTCAATGTGACTGTCCTTGACCATGTATAAGCAGTAAAAAATTAATTTGCTTCATGGATGACAAAATGTTTCTACTTTCCTGGTGAATGTTGAGTCTCGCATCATATGAATGTAATTTTAGGCGATCTGTCTGCATGGGGTGTATAAGCAGTTATGCAAGAAGGGTTAATTCTACCAAGTACTATCATATAGATTATACCTAAATGGCCTGTTGTGATAAAATTTACATGCAACTGTTTCCATGTAAAGATTATGATTTTCAATAATTTTGCATCTGGTTTTCAATCATCTGGTCAGCTAATTATCTAGCATTATGTTGTTATTAGTTCCGTAAGTATTATATCCTAATATACTCTATGTTATAATGATGCTCGCATATATCACACATACAGTTAAGCTATTTGCCAGGTGATATACCCAAAATATCTATGTGTACTATCTATGATATATGATGAAAGGGCACTGAAAAATTGTTCTCAAATGGATGATGGTAAATTTTGTATCTCTACAGCTAATTTGATAATTAATAATTTTTATCATGTATAGAATACCAAATTTGGTCGCATATAATAGAAAAATTGTGGGCAAATTACAGCTATGGAAGGAGCTTATTTCAAATAAGAGCACAAAAATCTTCATAATAAAGAATTATAGAAGCCAAAGAGATATAAATGTGTGCCCATATTTGGAATGGTTGCTATAAAATGTTTGGTTGATGCTTCATTTAATTTATACATGGCAGCATCAATAATAAGATTGTTCAGCAAAATAACAAATCTCAAATAGCCAAGTTCATGATAGAAGAACAACACAAGGATTTTTGATCGATCTTTTTATACAAACCATCTGCAATATGATATTCCCCCTATCAATATAATTTTCAAGATTTTACTTTTAAAGGCTTAAATTATGAATTATTTTATTTTTGCAGATTTGATATAACTTTGTCATTTATGTTTGCTTTGTTAGATCTCTTAATTTCTCAATTTCTGTGATTTGTTTTCATAGTACACCCATGAGAAATGTAGAATTGTATTTCATTTCAAGGGGTGATGATATAAGGTAGCATCTGTGCTGATAAAAAAAAGAGAACAAAAGACCGTAATATTGATTCAACATTCCTTCAATATACATCAATCAATTGTATTTTGCAAAAAATCAGAGATCATGCCTTTTTGCAAGTGTATTTAAAAGACTAAAAAAATCGAGTTGGATGAACTTTTAAATCTGCATTGCCCATTTTCTCAAATGATGGGGAGTTATTGATCCCTGGATGTTGTTGCA